AACAGGCCTTCTCTGCAGTGGCCCCGTCTGTGGAATGCTCTTCCCCAAGGAAGTTCACATGTCGCCTTCATTATACACCTTTAGGCACTAGGCAAAAATGTTCCTTTTAAACTAGGCCTTTGCTTGATTTAATTGACAACCTAGGCCCTTTCAAAATATGTTTCTTTTTTGGGGAGGGGTGTAATTAGGTATTATTATTATTATTATTATTATTATTATTATTATTATTATTTATTATATATTGTGGTTTTATATTTTGATTTTGTTCTGTGACCTGCCCTGAGACCTCCAGGTATAGGGCAGTATATAAATTCAATAAATAAAATACAACTCATAAGCTCAAAAAGAGTCTACAATATTTGTTTTCTCTTTGGGATAAATTACATTGCGTCCAGAGAGCAGAGCAGATTTTAGCACATGCTGTTGCTTTTGCAACTGGCATTTTGTTCAAACAAAACATTAACTATGCTCATCTTCAGACTGTTAGTTACAAAGGGAAAAAAATCCCAAATCAGTTGGAAACAGAATTGCAGCTGTGTTTCTAGGTCATCCGGAAAACAAACTGTCAGTTGATGCAACTTGCTGTCCAACTGCTGCTTAGTGGACTGTAGGAAAATTAGTTGCACAGATTTCTCCGTCTCCGTCTCCAGTGTAGTACAGTAGTCTGAATTAGTTTTGCCTCTAAATGCAACATGACCAAGCCTTGTATTCTTCAGTTAAAAAGGACTGGGGGCATGGGAGCAGGACACCGCAATCAAAAGACATTTTGCAAAATTAACATTTATTTAAGTGGCTTACCGGTGACGCAAACTGAACTATGAACCTGACAGTTCTGAGTTAGTATATGTGAGAGTATAAAATAGTGCTAACACCTCAGTATCTAGGGGGAAATATCCACTCCTTCCATGTGAGTCTGCCCAGATGCTCTGCTAAACAGCCAAAGCTGCTTAATGGTCCTCCTAATGCTTGACATTTCATGGGTGGGTCCCATGACATGACTTTTCCAACTAGACTGTGGAAAGAGCTCCCCAAGTGGGTTTATTTGTCTCTGTTGCTCCTTGCTTTTTGTTGTTGTTGTTGTTGTTTAGTCGTTTAGTTGTGTCCGACTCTTTGTGACCCCATGGACCAGAGCACACCAGGCACTCCTGTCTTCCACTGCCTCCCGCAGTTTGGTCAGACTCATGTTTGTAAGCTTTGAGAACACTATCCAACCATCTGTCGTCCCCTTCTCCTTGTGCCCTTCATCTTTCCCAACATCAGGGTCTTTTCCAGGGAGTCTTCTCATGAGGTGGCCAAAGTATTGGAGCCTCAGCTTCACGATCTGTTCTTCAAGTGAGCACTCAGGGCTGATTTCCTTAAGAATGGATAGGTTTGATCTTTTTTTAGGAGCAACTAAAGCCTGGCTCTTATGAGAGCATTTGCCCAGTTCTGCTGCTTGTTCCCTTTAAACTACTGCCTGTCTCCCCTCTGCTTGCCTCTGAAGATAATTCAGAAAGTTCAGCTGGTACAGAATTTGGTGTCCAGGTTGCTCACTGAGGCAAAATGGTTTTAGCACTGATCCTGGCCTGACTACACTGGCTGCCAATTTAGTTTCCAGGCCCAAGTCAAAGTGCTGGTTTTGAGCAATAAAGCCTTAAATGGCTTAGGGCTTCAATACCTCAAGCATCGCTTCTCCCCATATGAACCTACCTGGAACCTAGGATCATCATCTGAGACCCTTCTTCATATGTCTCCTCCACGAGGGGTCCAGTGTGTGACAACATGCGAATGGGCCTTTTTTTCCCAGTAGCTCCCCATTTGTGGAACGTTTTCTCAAGGGAGATTTGGCTGGCACCTTCATTATACACTTTTAGGTGCCTGGCAAAAACATTCCTCTTAACCAGGCTGATTAACATCCTATACTCTTTTTAAAATGTGTTTGTGGGAGAGGGGGATATCAGTTTGTGAGGTGGGTTTTTTTGTTATTGTTTTTATTATGCATTTTTAAAAATCTTGTCTCTTTATGTTTTGAGCAACCCTTAAATTAATGGATGAAAGGCGATAAGACAAATTAAATAAAATAGCAAAGTGTACACCACCTTGGAAATAATGTGGATTTTTAGATTTTTAGAAGATGGATGAATTCCTTTTAGCACACTGCATTTATGGCTATATAGACTTCTGAATCACCTTATTATATAAATAGAAGCCAGTTTCTAATGCCCTGTGTGACTGTGAAACAGAACCCAGCACAAGCAGATCATGTGGAACTCCCTAACTGTATACTGTACCTACTGAGGTTTTTCATTATGCTTTAGATATATACAGAAGATTGACTTTATTGAATTTTATATGTTGTAAACTGACTCGCGATATTTTTGGGAAAAGTGTGAATGTAACTCTGGCAAAAAATGTGAATGTAACTCTGTGAGGGGTAAACTACAGTGCCCAGAATTCTTCGAGGGAAATATGCTTTCAATATGCTTTAAATGTATAGTGTACTATACATAGTGTATATACATAGTGTATATATTTGCTTTCGTAGATTTTCACGGGTACAGGAATGCAGGTTTTGGTGTCCTCGGGTGTCTTCCCGTGTAAAAGTTGGGGTGTCTAGGCGACGTTTCGACGAGGTCTCACTCGTCATCTTCAGGCTGGTGCTTTCGGCTTCTTGTTACTGGAACAGAGCAGGATCTCAGTGTTTGAGTTCCTATAAATACTGTTGAGGGGGTGTGGTGTATAGCCTCCAATGTTCTGGGCAGAGAGGAAGTTCCCATGGCACACTAGCCTGGGAACTTCCTCTCTGCCCAGAACATTGGAGGCTATACACCACACCCCCTCAACAGTATTTATAGGAACTCAAACACTGAGATCCTGCTCTGTTCCAGTAACAAGAAGCCGAAAGCACCAGCCTGAAGATGACGAGTGAGACCTCGTCGAAACGTCACCTAGACACCCCAACTTTTACACGGGAAGACACCCGAGGACACCAAAACCTGCATAGTGTATATATGTATATACAGCCTTCAGTTCAGAACATCCTTGCTGGAAACAATGATGTGCTCCAATAGATCAAAATGCCTGTGGCAAGTGATGCCTTCTTACGTGATTTCGTTTTTGAGCCAGATCGGAGATATACAGGGGCTTTGGGAAAAGATTAGTATGTGGCAGCCGGGGGGTGGGGAGAACCTATCTACTTTTGCTGCTTCCTTGACCCCCCAACGACTGGAACCTAGGTCTTCGTATTGAAGCCAGCACTAATAACTGTTCATTAGCTCACTGCAGCTCATAAATGTTTTCAAATTCGAGCCCCGTATTGGGCAAAAGATTCCTGGATTGCAGTAGCTCGACTAGATGACCCTCACCATCCCTTTCAACACTACAATTCTGTCTTTAGAAAACAACACTTCCTTTGCAAAGATGTCAGGCTGGCACCCAGAAGCACTGCACCATAAATGGAAGCTGTTTTCTCTCTGCATTTTTTTTAACAGCATAGGCTTCAGACAAGTGCTAAGTTCTTTTTAACACTTTTCAGACAGACTCTGAAAGACAGCTCATTTACCTTTTCACACTAAGCATCACTTTCGTATTTCTGAGCTCAAATTAACTAGAAATAGTACCAAGGCAGCAAGGGCTGTTATCAGCATCTTTCAATGTGAGTGTTGGATTTATAGTCACATAGGAAATGTAGCATCTTGGAATTTGGGCTCCTGAGATTTTTCTGCTCTCAGAAAGAGTTAGAAATATGTAGGCAGTGTCTGATAAATCAAAGGATGGTCCAGAACAGGTTCTATTTAAGGAGAGGCTTCTTTGGTTTATCTTTCTCTGTAATTCCTATCAATTGTAGTCCCCACTACCATACTATTTTCCTCCTAGACCGACCTTCCTCTCCTTCCATACTTAATTTGACTCTAGTCTACACCAGAATATTTTTTGTTTTGTACAAACACAGCTATCACATGTTAATTAGACAGTGTTTACTGTGCCACACGGTCCAGAGTTTCCTTTACCTAAAGCCTAGAGTAATAGAAACAATAGCTTTTATATTTATTTTTTCCTATGCATTATTGGACATGGCCTAAAACTAAAGTCAGTTCCAATAGGCAAATAATGCATAAGGTATGATATACATTTAAAAAATGTAATAGGGAATTTAATCCATTTTACATTTCAAGCAAAACCCATATTTACCAGAACCTGGCCATGTGCTCAGTACCTCTGTACTGATGCAAAAACAGCTATAAGGATTATAGCTATAGACAGATGGCACTCATACACCTTTGCTTACGCAAGTGTCTAAATTAAAATATATGGTAGGTAATATTAGTAACAAGACAGCTGCAGTTCATTCTGTACTCCTTGACACCTATTTTACATTATGGCATTGCAACACAAGCTCCTGGTGAACCCTTAATTCTGGAAGATAGAATACTGGGAGAAAGCATCACTGCACTTCCACAGCCAGAGGTCAGATTTCAGAAACTCAGAAGAAGGGGTCAATAACTGGTTTTCTCAACCTCACAGATGATGAAATTGATATTCCAGCAAGGAGAGAACTGGCAGTGAGCCTCTTGTGTAATGTTAGCACTACAGCCATATCTCTAGGCTAACTATCTTGCAAGCGTGACAAATGTAGCCTGAAGAAAAATCTGAAAGCTCTTTTCGTGCTTAATGGAAAGTCTACATGAATCAGCTTCTCCTTGTCTATTGGTCCCCCAGCTTTATGAACAAGAAATGTGATTTGATCTGTAACCATTTTGTTTTACTTCCACAGGAAATTCAAGATATTCCTGAATAATGTGGTGCAATACAGATCCATGTTCCCTTAAAACCAACAGGACCTAGGTGTGCCTATTTAAACCTTGGGCAAGTTAAGAGAATGTTCCTAATTATCTACTTCTGGTGTAGCTACGTTAAAAACTCTTCAATGAGTTAGGCTTTTCCATCACTCTTAGATAATTACAGCTATGTAGTCAATGAGAACCCACTCCCCTACAAAACAAAATTTGTAATTCAGGACACACCAGCAAACAACCTTTTATTACATCTGTTCAGTTATCCAGACTATAACTGTAAGACTCAATATTTCAATAAACATAAAGATCAGTACAAAAGTAATGTTTTAAGAGGAGGTCAACTTCAATCCCCCCCCTTATACCTCAACTTTTACACAATTGGTTCCTCAAAAAACAAAACAAAGTTAAAATTCCTTTCACGTTCTCCCCATTGCACTTGTTACCACCAGAATACATGGAGGACACAACAATACAAAATTACAAGGGGGCAGAGTTTACTAGTACAAAAACAGACATGGACTATATGCCTATGCAAGCCTTGAAAAACTAGGGCCACATTAGCACAGGTACACTGGTACTACCTCTAGTCAGTTCACAAAACAGGTACAAAATTAACCTGAACAACTTCAAAAACCTACTGCTTCCATGTGGGGAGAGGCTTGTTTTTATGTACCAGCTCAACTCAGCATCTGCTCTTTTAAGATGTCTGTTAATGCCTAGTTATAGCCATAGTATTTCTTATTACTGAACAGCTGAAAAATCCTAATTATAAACATCACCCATTCAGTGACTTAACAGCAGTAAATCTTGCACAAATCAAGAAATAAGCTTCATATGATCTTCCTCATTCTGATCATCATGAAACAGAGTTCCTTCAGTCATTTTATATGCTAAAAAAATTACTTCATTTGCTGAGTTTTCTAAGATTCATTTATATGGAAATATTTTTTTTAATTTTGCCCTGCTGAAAGTGTCTATTGTTTAAGAAGAGAACATTAGTGTCATTGTAGAAACAAGGCAAAGGCAGACTTGTTTTCCCATTCAAGTATTGACATGAAATGAAGCCAAGGTCTGTGCATTGTGCTTTAACCCGCAGCATTTTTGAGATTTTATTGGGGGAGGAGAGAGAGAGAGAGAGAGGAGGGAGGACAGGGCTAACATTTTAACTGATATTCACTTCAAATTTCCAGAAGTTTCAACAGATTTAAGACAGTGTTATTTTGTTAATATTAATTTAGTGTTACATTTAAGGAGAAAATTCACACAACTGTTTTAGGAATGTGAAACCCGTTCCTATGACAACTCTAATTGTAGAGAATATATTTGTAACATAAACTCCCATTTGTTCAATGGAGTTTTAGGAGGCAAGTGACAAATAAGACAGCCAGAGTTCTTGGACTGGAAGCTCTCATGAGCAGTAGCCTTTTAGCATATAGTGGCTGACTGTGCACACTGCAGTTGCCTCGATATAACTCCACCTTATCTAGTGCAGCTTAAACTCTAGAAGTAACAAAGACAGTTCTGGATGATCATATGACATGCTCTGCCATGTGCAATTGGGGGGGGGGGCGGTCCTAAGACTCAAGGCAAGAGCAGAAACCAGCTCAGTGGTAGAAAAATAAGGCAAAGAACACACGGCTTTGGTGGATTAAATATTTTTCACGTTCATTATAGCCTTCACTTGCTCTATTTAGCTAACAGACAGGAAAGTTAAACTTTCTGGCCTAAGACCAGGATAAATATGAACTGAAGAGGTATTTGGTATCAAGAGGATGCAGTATAAAACTAGCAGGCTGTTTCAAGGTAATGCACCTTTGCTTTGAGACACAGGCAACTAGATCCAGGACCCCCAAGAGCTGTTTGCAATAGTATATTGTGCAAAGTTATGCAGTTTGTTCTCGAGCTTCAATTGCATCTCTCCATTTATTTTGTTGATATTGTATTAATAGTTGAATGAAAATGAATGGATGAGGACGTATTAGTACCACAGTCCAAGGTAGTCGCAGCGGAAAATACCAAACTGTTTTTCACAGTGCACATATTTATTCCATAAAATGTGTTCCTGACACCCCACAAACAGCCATGGTTTTCCAGAACTGAGGCTACTAAGATTCCCTTTGCACCTGTTTAATCCTCCGTTTTGTAAGATGACAGACATTTATAACACCACACTTAGGTGGAGTTCCCCTTTTGGGGGAAGCACTGCTTCTAGCGTTAGTTGTAAACACCTTCCTCAAGAGAGATTAGGTGGCACCTTTTCCAAAAGGATTCTCATTCATGAGAAAACATCAAAACTTACAAAACTAGGGAGGGTTAAACTTGCAAGAAAAATAACTCTCTCAGTCCTTAATTCATTACTCAAGTTCAAAGTTCTTTCTCTCTGAGTTTATTCCCACTGTGCTCATCTGCCAGTGCAGGATGTCCATCACCGTTGCTTAAACAATTGTCCTTCCCATATTTGTGTTCTTGTTTTTGCCTTCTTATCTCTTTATATCGCAAGGTGATATTTCTAGAAATAAAACAAATACATTTTAGAAAAATATCAGAGGAAAAAAAGAGAAACACCATAAATTTAGAAAAAAGCTCAGTCCTTTTGTTGCTTCTTTTCATTTCCCTGAATGAGGCAATTATATGACCAAACTTAGAGTTTGGCTATAGCTAAACATTAAGCATTTCCTAGTTCCAAAGTGATAATTCTACAGCAACTACAGTAGCCATGTAAATACTCAGGATTTGGAGATTATCCTTCCCACCCCGCACACAAATTTGCTCCGCCCGCCCCCCTTCTTTATAAATCCATCAATTCCAACTGTCCAGCTACTAAAAGACAAGGAGCAAGTTGCCACTATCAATTCAGTTTCTCCATTGTGCAAGCAGCTGCTCCCATTTTCTCCCCCAGATTTAGAGCTGAAGGGTGGAATTCAATGTTGCACAATTACAACCATTCCATCAGCACATGCATTTCTGTTGGCCAGACAGAACAAAATCTCCAGTCTTCCCCCCTGTACATTGTTCTGGGGGACTCTCCTGACATATACATGCCTCCCCCCGCCTTTTTGGTAGAGATGTGTAGGGAGAGAAGAGTGGGGGCACTGGCTTCCACTATCTCAACTGTTTAGTTGATTCTGGCCCAGTGGCTTTAAGCAAAGTGGCAGGAGCAGGAATTAGCCTGCAGCAATGGAGAAAGGGAGAAAATGCATGCAGTGAGCCAGTTCAAGTGTATGCCCAGACTAGCACTGTCGATAGACGCCTGGTGGATCAGACCATGAGTTCACCTAGTCCAGTCAGGAATTCAACCCTTGCTTACCGAATAAAGAAGCGCCACACTGTCCAAATAAGCACAAGTGTGACTCCAATAATCCAGCACTGAGTAATGTAGAAAGGAAGTGACAATGTCAGGGTGTAGGGATCATATTTTACCACAATAAGGAACTCTGTAGCTGTGATAGCAGCAACCAGCCATGCTTGCTGACCCAACTTCTTATAGAACTTTCTGCAATAATAAAACAGCATTAGTGCATAGGTATACATTCAAAATGGTATTTCTAAAACAAAAACAGAATAGGCACTTCTCTGATAGCAAGACCATATTACACACAATACTATGTAATAGCTTTGTTCTTCAGCATTTAAAAAAAAAAGGAAGATACAGTTTAATTTAACAACTGCCCTTCTAATTTCTACCATTGAAGGTTGAAAAAATATATAGCAATTTTGTGTGGCTTAACAGTTGACAAGCAAATAATCTAGTGTGCAATTTCCCCTTATTTACAAAGCAGAACTTTATTGTTCAGTAACATGACAGAGCAAATGAACTTTGAAGTGACAAGCTCTAACAAAATAAGCTCCAGCAAAATTCTTCAAGAGGCATGCCCAAGTTATCTGTTTCTACAGTGGGAAATAAAAAGTCACATCCCCTATTTGTTGCCTTAAAACACACACTTCCTGGAAAAATCTACACAAGGAAACTTTTAAACAATAGCCACTGCTATAGCAAGAAAAGTTAATCCTTATTGTCCTTATTCTATTTACTAGCATTAAAATGTTGCCCAATGGGTGTGTGTGGACATTTCCCTCCTGCAAACAATTGCTACAGACAGGGCACGATTTTCCAAATCTGGCCTGTCCTGTTTCTCCAAACTAAGTATTTCCTCCAGTCCTGGAAGAGTGGAGTGGGACAATTTATTTTCACAGCCCCAACTCTGCAGCTGTGTTTAACACAGAAAAGTGGCAGTTCTCTACAGTGCTGTCTTCCCTCCTTTTAAATCCAGATATTGGTGGCAATACACCAGAAATGTATTGCTCCCTTCTTTCTCTACACTGGAACCACCTTCAGCAGGATGGGAAGGAGTACTGTTCTGTTTTTCCTACCCTAAGCTGAAGTCTCTGTTGATGGTGGCCAAGTCAGCCAGTCAGGGTTGCTGGCAATACTATATATTTTCTCTGTTGGAATGAACACCATTCATTTATATGGAGGAAAGTGAAAACATACACAAAGCAATGCTAGTGAGGTTCGGTGGACCCTGTGTCCCTGGTGATCCCAGAATCAAGCATGAGAGACAGAGGTTTTTTGACCTCTCAGCTGTTCCAGATTGCAAAGTATTTGCTTTGTTCCACAGAACTTCATGGAAGCTGATGAACCGACAATGACATATGGCTTTTGTTGTGTTCAGTTTCTTGGTCACACAGGGCATTAGGAAATGGCTTCAGCATATATATTAGGTTCAAAATATCTATATAGCCATGAACGCAGTCTGCAAAAAAGGAATTCAGCAATCTTTTCAAAATCTTGCAACTCTCAGCTGCCTCTTAAAATATTGCCTACCAATACAAGATTTCCAAAGTGATTACGATTTACTATTGAAGAACAATCACAAATAAAACAGACTGGATTGACAATTTTTCAGGAAAAGCTAATTTTCATAGGACAGTGGTGAACAAGTTTTCAACCAGGAAAATGGAGCAAGGACACTGCAGTGTATCAGCATCCAGATAGCACTGGAAGGATAGAACATATGTTTTCAAAATTTTGAGAATATCCGCTGAAAATTGAGAAACAGGGTCTCCCATAGCTATCTCCTATCTTAATAAGAAGGACTGCAGGTACAAATGATACAAATCTAGTTGGTATTCCAAACAATACTTGGGAGATTTTTCTACCCTAGATCAACAGTGCATTTTCGTGTCCATTTCTAGAGAGTGGAAAAAGAAATATGCCAGATGTTCTATCACTAAGCCATGCTTTGCACATATAAGGACCCAGATTCAACCCCTGGTATCTCCAGATGAAAGATCTCAGATATTATCGCTGAGAAAAACCTCTACATGAGATCTTTCTGCTAGGCAAACGAGGCAACACCAAATTAGCTGGTTCAGTAGTCTGTCTTACTATAAGGCCCTTACCTATGTGCTTGCAGTCAGCTATAACATAGAGCTGGAAGGCACTAAAAAGCCCTTCAAGAGGTCCCACCTTGCACAAGAATACTGTAAAGCAAGATTGTCATCTACAGATTGGCTCTCTACCAGTCAGCCCCTAGATTCCAAACTACAATGTGTTGTAAGCAATGCCGGGGCAACAAACTAGACTGGTCTGAAGATTGCAAAGGAGAACCCATATGGGAGAAAACCCACCCATTTACTCTTAAAAAACGAAATACTATTCAGGACAAGTCCATACCACTCACATCTAGTCTTGGTGTGCAATGCAGCAGAGGGGCAAAGAACTCCCAGGTCTCTGCAGCCTCTAACAAACTGTGATTTGACTATTTCTCAAATACCTGAATAAAGTATCTTACTGCAAAAAGAAATGGGTCTCAATTCAAATGTGGTGATGCCCTGTGCTCCTATTTAGCACGTGTTTTTATATTGTGATTTTATCCTGTGAATTGCCCTGAGACCTGCGGGTATAGGGCGGTATACGAATTTAATTAATTAATTATAATAATAATAGGACTTTTTATACTCCCACTGTTGTTAGGTTTCACCTTATCATCCTGATCTGTCTTCAGTTCACTTCATGCTTTTAAAATCAAGGATCGAAAACCATGTGTGATCTTAGGCCTGAATCAGGTAGGGAAACTTCTATGGTCTGAGTCTTTCTCCACAAAACTTGTCAGGAACCCCAATGGATACTTCCAAGAGATAAGACCAACCAAAACTCCACCACTGGTATACCTGCTTCCATCACCTAGCTATCTAGGACTAACACACCCACCACTGACATCAAATTGCTTTGATTCCATATCCTCTTGACCTTATTCTTTGAAAATAACCTTAACGTTGCATTATTTATATAATCCAGAGGGAATGACACCAATACTTTCCTCCCATCTTCCCAATCCAGTTTTCCATGTTTTTCAAAACACAGCACAACAAACTGCAAAGTGAAACTTAATCATGGTAGCCATAGGTAAATGCATGGCAGAACTGGGGGAAGAGATGAAGAGCAGCATGATAGTGAAAAGGAACTAAAAGGCTATTTAAGATTGAAGGGGTGGCGATGACCATGTCAACATTGTCTGCCTGAAAAAAGAAAGGTACTGAATAGCAACAATATGAGTGATTGGGCTTTCAATTTCCTGCTCTACTATTGGGAAAAGATCTAAATTTACAGAGAGCTGGGCGGGGGGGGGGGGGAGTGCTGCCTTCTGTTGAAGTTTGGCTGTTGCATCTCATTCCAACAATTTTTTTTTCAGTGTAGAGGGCAAATCAAACTCTCTCTATATGAACTTTAACCAGGCCTTGGGCTGATTAACATGTCCTTTTAAATGTGTTTGTGGCAGGGATGTTATTGGTTTATTTTTGTTTTATTCTGTATTTTGCATTCTCATTTTGTATTTTTATGTTGTGAGCTGCTCTGTGATCTCCAGATGAAGGGTGTATACAAATTTAATAAATAATCAACAGCAACACCTGGCCAAAGTGTACTCAAGATGAGATCCTTAAAAATCCCAGTTGTTTACAGTGGTGCCCCGCAAGACGAATGCCTCGCAAGACGAAAAACTCGCTAGACAAAAGGGTTTTCCGTTTTTTGAGTCGTTCCGCAAGACGAAACGTCTTGCGAGTTCTTGCGAGTTTGTTTCCTTTTTCTTAAAGCCGCTAAGCCGTTAATAGCCGCTAAGCCGCTAATAGACGTGCTTCGCAAGACGAAAAAACCGCAAGACGAAGAGACTTGCAGAACAGATTAATTTCGTCTTGCGAGGCACCACTGTACTTGATCCATATTGGAGACTTCAGGTTATTCTGTTCTGTGATGGACTGTAGCTTGTCATTAACTTTCCTTCTTCATTTTTCAAGATTGTTCTGGACTGACTTGAGTACCACTCTAATACAACATGATGAAAATACTTTACTAAATTCAGGATAATAGTCCCCTACATCTCTCTCCATGTATTTGACAAGCTGATTGTGGAGGCAGAGCAGCAGAAGCTACTCTTCTCCATCTCCTACAAAGCATGCAATCAATAAGGAAGCCACTAAGAAGCAGTAACAGTGGAAAGTTTCCTGCCTTACAATGTGCTGTTGAAAGGCAAGATTCATTCAACCAAACTTGAATTCAATGACAAAGAATTGTATCTATTTACAAAGAGCTGCCTTTGAGAGCTGTATTGAACGTCAGTGTTATTGTTCATATTTCACAGAATTATTTTACTCTCAGGACAATTAAAACAGTCAACGCACTGGTGCTTATTTGGTGTGCTGAGTATGGACTCCACTGCAAGACAGCTTTAGAACCTTTTGAATCAAACCTAAGTATTTAAATCAATAATGTGATCTTGGCTATGCCAAAGATTGTTAAAATAATCAAGCCTAAAACCAATCTGAAGTCCTAATTTTTTTCTGATATGTTCAGAGAAGCAAAAATGAGTGACTCAGCTAGTTTCATGAGATTATTTTCTTCCAAAAATCAACAGGGATAAAAAAGAAACATGGGACCTTTAAGGAGACGTTTGACCACCATAACCAAGAACGACCAGCCATTTTGAAAGAGGTACAAGTGGTAAAGATTTTCAAAGAGAAACCAGGAATTCAAGACAAGTATCTTGCCATTTAAAAATTTCCCAGAAAGTTCAAACGTCCAAACTGCCTTGGCATTTTGTCAGCGAAGAAATCCTCAGGCTCTAAGTCAAGCCTCCTCAGTTGTTAAGTGGCCCTGCCATCTTACTGCTCACAGTATATGGTTGGCTTTGTGGATACAGTCCAGTAGATCAATACAACATTTTGCTTTAAGTACACCTGTTTGTTGCCACCTTCACAGGGGCTGTGCTTACAGTTGTGAGGCATCTAGAACCTCCTCCCAGAAGCAGATTCACAAATAGGGAGCTGTTCCAGCACGTTGTTCTTTCTGAAGTTTCACAGGCCCCATATGTCTTGTTGATGGTGGCCTTTCCAAGGAAGAAAAGATAGGCTGTTGCTGGCTGTAATAGGAGCTTCCTTGCCATATTGAAAGGAGTTTTAAAGCCCTCCCCCCATGCCATGAACCAAGCACCCATTATTGGGAGGGAGGCAGCTTAGGTAGTTTTGCCTACCTGAGCAAGAAACGAAAGAAGAAAGCTGCAGGCAACTGTCCCGCTAACTAAGGAAAGTAGGGGGGAAATGCAAAAAAACTGTTTAGGGAAAGGCAAAACATATTTGCCAAGAATATACGAAGTAGAAAGGCCTCAGAACAAAAAGACTCTTGTGAACGCAGCATCAGTAAAACAAAAGAAAAACTGATTACAAAGCTGATTACTCTGTCATCTGGCACATGTGTAGTTAGCCATTAGAAAGGCAGGGATAAGAGCCTTCACTTCTGTCTTGAATTCAAGAAGTTTCCCCACATTTGGGCCTATACACTCCCAAATCTTTTGCTGCAGATGGAAAATGACTGATAAAAATCACATTTGCAAATGAATGTTAAGTTTATAGACTCTTAAATGAGCAGCTTTCCTGCTGCATGACAGTAGCATGCACACACAGTAAAATCTGGGATGTTTTGCAGGAAATGGTTCCTCTAAACAAATATGTTTATTTAGGAATTGTTTGATAAATCATTCTGACTTCCTCATAAAATGATGTAGAAGGTATCAGAAAAGAAGTAAAAGGCTAAGATTTTTCAGAGAATTATATACGTTGTGTTTGAAAAGATGCCTTTTAGGGAGGAAAAAAAGCAGTTATGGAGACAGTTCTTTTGCTTCCAACAATGTGAGAGTGGGGAAATTCTTCTTAACTTCATATGGATCTGGAACATCTGCAGAACTAGGATGTGCTATCACTTTAGCAATAACAAAAGCAAGTAGTAGACTATTGTTCATCTATAACTCATGATGGCTCTCTTTGCTGCATGTAGTCATCAATTTCTGCATCTTGAATTAGCAAAGAATGGCAACACAGTGAATGAGGCACTGGTGACTTATGACACTCCCCTGTTCCAATGTTATGCCATGTAGTTGAACAGAGGGCAGAAGAACAAGAGACAAGATGTTTTTCCAACTCAAACACAAGGACTAGAAGATGGGCCAGGGTGCTGAGGAGAGGAGCTCACTAATGAGAAACGGAGGCCTCTTCTTACCTTAAAGCAGGAAGTATATCCCAAATCAGTAGGTCCAACACCAGGGGGCAGGGAATGGCCTGTCACTGCTGAATGTCCTGAAATCCGACTAAGTAATCAGGTTGGGCCCTTCTTCCCAGTTCTAGGAGTCAAAGACTTGCAAGTGAAACTGATCTTCATAAAGTATTGGAACCCTAGATTCTGAACACAGACACTTTTTGTGTTGGTCAGTGAAGAAACAATAAGCTTAAGTAGTGGGATCAGCCAGTTTGTTCCATCACCACTAAGCCAAAACCAAACTCAACCTAAGGGATCTGGGTCCTGTTTGCTAAACAAGGAAGCAGAAGGAACAAGCTCTAATCAGGCAGGTGTTTAGTGCATGCACTGCCATGCGAGGGCAGACACTTATAAAATTCTAAAGATGTATAGGACGTGAAAGAGAACTGTTGGAAAATCTCAAGGAACAAGATTTAAGAAGGGTCTTATAGCTAGACCCTCCAGACACAGCTATTTCCCTCAATCATTCAGTCCCTTAGAAAAGGCCATTCAAAGTGCTGTTCTATGCAAAAGCTAACTGTGCCCAAGCTAATATGAATCATGAACATATTTTCAGGTTGTTGTGTGGTAACGTTTGAGGACAGCACACAGCAAAGTGACATTTTGCAATCCAAAGCATATAACTGGCAAATAATGATATATTTTGTGTCTGAAAACAAAAAACTGCAACTCTTCTCAAGGCTACAGGTGTTTTAGCAGCAGCAGCAGACAGATCCATCCATTGCCCTAATATTTTTGCCACTAAAATGCAGCAATTCTCACAAATTCTAAAATTAAGCAAATAAGCATGAATAAGAGTAACCACTTACGGATCATCCATGAAGTCATAGATCTCTCTCATGGCTACACCTCCCACATTCACATAAAAGACAAGCCGCAGCAGGACCAGATAGTGTTCTGGAGGCATCCACAAGACGAATTTCAAGTAAAAAGTGTTCAACTCTGCTAATAAAAACTGAGAGACATGTGCCATTCAATCACTTAATTTCAGGTGGTTTCCAATTATTCATATCTAAAACATGCTGTAAATCCTTAAGTACAGTGGTACCCCGCAAGACGAACGCCTCGCAAGACGGAAAACCCGCTAGACGAAAGGGTTTTCCGTTTTGGAGGCGCTTCGCAAAACGAATTTCCCTATGGGCTTGCTTCGCAAGACGAAAGCCCATAGGGAAATCTCCGGGACAGCGGGGAAGCGCAGCGCGTCTTCCCCACTGTCCTCGGACCTCCTCCCGCCGCCCGGCATCGGAACGAAGCTCCGATGCCGGGCGGCGGGGCGGGAACGCCTCCTCCCGCCGCCCGGCATCGGAACGAAGCTCCGATGCCGGGCGGCGGGGCGGGGACGCCTTCTCCCGCCGCCCGGTTTCGGATGACTTTCCTGAAGACTTGGGGTGGGAGGAGGGTTTTCCTTCCCACCGCCAACATTCAGAATACTGTTCTGAATGTTGGCGGTGGGGAGGAAAAACCCTCCTCCCACGCAAGCCCCGGGAACAGAGGGAAAGCACTGCGCGCCTTCCCCTCTGTTCCCGTACCTGTCCTGAAGGCTTGCGGTGGGGAGAAAAGCCCTTCTCCGCACCGCCAGCCTGGCAAGCGGTTTCCCTAGGAACGCATTAATTGATTTTCAATGCATTCCTATGGGAAACCGTGCTTCGCAAGACGAAAAACTCGCAAGAAGAAAAAACTTGCGGAACGAATTAATTTCGTCTTGCGAGGCACCACTGTATAGGAATTTGAATATACTTGCAGTACCTTGCAAGAATGATTTTCTCTTACTTCAGAATCATAGAACCACACAGGTGGCTATCTTTCTGTCTTTAGCTATACTACAGTGGAACAATGGGGAAGCATGTTCTTGGCTTCCCTGCACAGGTATTAACAGGGAACTTAATAAAATTTTACCCCACTTCTGTCACACTCAAAGACCTAGTTTCACTCAATGTTAAGCCAAACATTGAACAGGTTCCCCAAGAGAACATCGCAACCATTATGCTCCTCTAGTCCTAGTGCTTCTGTGGGCTGTCATAGCTTGGCTTAATGTTATGCCCAATTCCAAGTTTGTGGCTTATTCCACTCCAGACAAACAATGACTTGTAGCCAGGCTCTGTTCTACGGCTTACAGCTTGAGGTTTGTCTACAGCAAGATAAACCATAAGCCCAGGTTCAGATGCAATATTAAACCAAATCATGGCTTAGCTCACAGCATCAGGACCAGAAGAGGTTGCAACCTTTTCTCCAGAAACCCACATATTTGCTCATTAATGTTAAGCCATGGTTTAGGCTTAGTGTTACACACTAATTGGGCCAAAATGGCTTATAATAAATGAAATAGCAATCCCTGCTATAAATTAGCACACTCTGCACAGTTTATAGATACTTGTAGATGCTATGGGTACAGATGGTTTCTTCTCTCCTTTACTTCTTTACTTCTTACAATTGCTTTGCTCCTAGGATAAATATAGGCATGCTGCTAGAGAAACCCTACCCTTCACTATGTCAGACTCAATGAGTCTTTTTCTGACATGGGGAGAATCTGAGAACTCCATCTTTGTAATGTTAAAAAGCAAGAAGAATTCTAAACACTTATGTCAGTTTGGTGCATCTACAATAAAGTAGTGGTCCTTACTATAAAAATAATACCACAGACTGCTAGCCATCTGCGAAGACTGGATGCTGGCTTCCACTCAAATTTAACCCAGCTGTATGGCGTGAATTGGAAGGCAATTCTCTTCATTTTTCCTCTGAGGGAGAAAATCACAAGTAGCTCATGAAAAGTGTTGCATTAACCATGTCACAAGTTACTAAATTTTGATTTTTATTTCACTATCTATTCAAATACCCAAAACTCTGTTCCATAGTCGGTACTGCAGCTCAAGGATGCTGGGAATAAATTTGGTGGATTTGTTAACTTTGTTTAGATATTAGACCTTGAGCTAAGCCAGAAAGGTTTGAATAAATTGCTTATTAAGTTATACAAAATCAACTTACTTTGCTTCAAATATCAGTGAACTTTTGTACATATTTCAAGATTACTGTCTTACTCCCTGTATTGCTATAATCATACTAATCAATAATTAGTATGGATTTGTTTGGAAGTGAACATGATTTGAGCTTGGCTATCCCTCTAGTTAAAACTGGATTCATTATTTAAATGGTTAATTGTCAATACACATTTATATAGACCATTTGAGAAAAAAGTGGTAAATATCCTAAATTAAGAGATTTCACATATGGCTCCTAGACAATTTTTCTTTACAGAAAGCAATTTGGCCATAGTTCTTTTCTACAATATGGTCTTTATTTGTCCAGCCTAATCACTAGCCATTTAGCTATTGTTATATGTTCACATTTGTTGTATATTGGATATTGACTGTTTTTGTGTGTGTTTTTTTGCTGATAAATTTTTATTGATATTACATATATATATATATATACATATACAAAATCCATTACATAACTTGCACATATTATATCCGTTCCACAAATCATATGTATAATACAAAGTTGATTTAGGCTCTGCCGAGCCTTGAGCTTCCCTCCACTCCTTTGGTAAGTATCAAATAAGTTTTATGGTCACGTATTTTATCTCTTTTACATAGTAATCATTTACTGTTAGAGTTATTCCAACCCCGCCAGTGTCATCTGAAATTTAGTTCCAATATACATCAAATATTTGTTCCAATTATCATGAAATTTCTGTTCATCTTGATCCCTTAATCTTCCTGTTATTCTAGCCAACTCGGCATAGTTTATCACTTTAACCTGCCAGTCACTTATAGTGGGTATTACCTCCGTTTTCCAGTTTTGTGCTAACATAGTTCTTGCGGCTGTTGTGGTGTATAAAAATAATGTTCTATCTTCTTTTTTAATTTCTTTGCCCGTCATTCCTAGCAGAAAAGCTTCAGGCTTTTTGGGGAAAGTGTATTTGATTTTTTTTAAAGCTCATTATAGATCGCTTCCCAAAAGCCTTTCACTTTGCTGCATGACCACCACATGTGGTAGAAGTCACCTTCTACCTCTCCACATTTCCAGCATCTTTTGTTCTTCAACCTATAAATCTTAGCTAGCTTCACTGGCGTGTGATACCACCTGTAGATCATTTTCCACAGGTTTTCCCTTAATGCCATACCACGCCGTGAACTTCATATTGACATTCCACAATTCCATGTATATTGGATATTGACTGTTAAGTCACCTTAAGACTCTTTTTGAGCAACGCCTCTGTGAAATGCAATAAATAATTTACTCTAGATTAGTCCTAGTCTGTATCAGAATGAAATGACTATAACAACCCAAATGAAAATAAATAGGTTACATTAACATACATAGAATTAAAAGTTATTTCATTTAGGTATGAAATGTTATCATTTAACGTACTTGTATGTCGGAATGTTCCAAAGTCCTTGCCATGAATATGTTTTCAAAGAAAGCCACCCCAAAGTCTTCATTCCACAATAAATGCCAAGTCCATTGCATACTACTACATCCATAATCCACTTAAAAAGAAAAGAAAAACTAACTCAAACCACCACTACAAATTCTATGGCATAGCTTTAGCAGTAGTGTGGATTCACAAGCATATACTTTACATTTGCTTTCTATTAAATTAGGTTTTCAACAAAATTTTGCACAATTCTGATATGTACTTAACACATGCTACAAATTATTTCAAATGATTGTTGTATATCCAAAGGGGACAAGAAATGACATTTCTCAAGCTGTGGTTAGTAAACAATAGAGGTAAATGCTTTTGCTCTCATGTGGCTAAGTCTTAACTATGGGTTTAGTAAAGCAAGCCAACTTCTAAGCTATGCTTACCAAGCTGGTTAGTTCTGCTATACTATAGTTAAGACCAACCATATTTTAGGGTTCAAAGTAATTTTAATCTGCAGCTACCAAAAAACTGAAACAAAAGCTTCCAATTCCCTCCTCACAGCTGCAGTGTCCTAGGTTAATTCCTCTTGCACATTCCTCATTGCTATGTCCAAACACAGGAAATATATTTATTGGGAAGAGTCCATAAACTACCATAAGTCTTTTTCATGCATGCCATATAGCAGACATTTAATTAGCCTGCACAAAAAGGTAATTCATACAGACAATATTACAGTTTAGAACTACCTGGATTTCAGATAGCAAGGATTAAAAAAAGAAAGAAAAAGAAACACCCCCATCCACCTAATGCTACTCACATTAGTAACTAAAGCACCTAAAGGAGATTCTTGGCATAGTAATTTGAGCCATTAGCATATTTCTTTAGAGAACAGTACTCACATGGTCCCACCAACATTCACTGAAGTTTGGGAGCTGATGTTCCAGACTGTACTCCAGAAATTCAAACATTACACTGATAATCATGCACATCCACCAATCACGAATCATTAATGTCTGAAAGAGTTTAAAAAATGAAAAGGAAAGTTAATCCTACAGATTATTCAAAATCTTGAGTTACTAAATAAAGGAACAAGCATTATATATATAGTGTGCTCTACAAAGGGTTCAGAATAGTCTGAGTTAAATATAGCGGGGAAAGCTTGCAGCCATAGCGGATAACAGTATAGTAGGCTGCACACCAGATTTCTGTGCTCCTTTGAAGATCAGCAGTTCCAGACAAGCGGATCAGAAGACCTTATAACCATGAGCACCACAGACTGGTAAACATATTTTCAGGCATCTTTCAAAAACCTGGGGTGACTCTCAAGGATGTTTCCATTTTGATCTGAAAGTACTATTCATGTTTATCCTGCAGGGACAAACTCTGCATCAACTATCCAATATTCTAGTTTTAGTCAAAAAGAGCAGAAAAGATTACCAAACTAGCCACTTGCATGTACCTGTAAGTCACAAAGCAGATGGAGCAGAAGGTTTAACAAGCTACTCAACTGAAAGAAGTTGCCTTTCACCGAGGGGCCAATGGGTGGCTGTGCTGCTTTAATTTTGAGATTAAATACTGAGCAGCACAATCAGCATTTTACCTGGAAGAGGAAGGCTAAATATCCATGACAACTATATAAAAATACAGATGTTGTTGCACTGTCCTAATGGAGCACTATTATGATGATGCAGCAACATGAGAACATCATGCAAAATTCCATGTTAAGCAAATGTTCCCCCATAGTTGCAATTAAGTCATTAAACTAAGTTCTGAAGTCAACTGTTGACAATAGGTGATATCCAAGAAAATCATATTCTGAGTAATCTCAGTGAAATCAGTGGTTGCTTATGTCCATTGATTTCAACAGGTCTACTCCAGACAAATAAATATGTTGCTGTTAACATGCAGAGGTTTAGAGGTTTATGTATCAAAATGTGGGGACACAACATGTAAAAAGATTCCTAGCCTTGAAGGAAATTAATGACCCAGTATAGTAAGAAATAGTTGAAGTTGAACAAACACAGTTTAAACTTTTTCACAGATGAGTGCCTGACATAATTGATTTTGCACACTGGTAACATTGAAGGAGAAGCAGTCTAGCTGCAAATGCTAACAAGAGCTGAACACAAAAAGGACCGATTCTCACCTTTATATACCAGCCAAGGAAATGAGCAGGAACAAATCCATCTAGTTTGTCCTTTAATTCAAGCAGAAAAACTGGGTTACACAGATTAGACCCGTTTATAAGGTAACTAGTTCACTGATTACTAGGTTGCAGTTCGGAGTATTTCCCATAAAGTTTATTAGATATTTTAGATACAAACATACTGTCAATTTTAACAAGGCAATACTTTTATTGCTTATGTCTAAAATGCAAAGGGATGCGGGTGGCGCTGTGGGTAAAACCTCAGTGCCTAGGGCTTGCCGATCGCATGGTCGGCGGTTCGAATCCCCGCAGCGGGGTGAGCTCCCGTCTTTAGGTCCCAGCTCCTGCCCACCTAGCAGTTCGAAAGCACCCTTAAGTGCAAGTAGATAAATAGGGACCGCTTACTAGCGGGAAGGTAAACGGCGTTTCCGTGTGCGGCTCTGGCTCACCAGAGCAGCTTCGTCACGCTGGCCACGTGACCCGGAAGTGTCTCCGGACAGCGCTGGCCCCCAGCCTCTTAAGTGAGATGGGCGCACAACCCTAGAGTCGGACACAACTGGCCCGTACGGGCAGGGGTACCTTTACCTTTACCTTTTTAAAATGCAAATATTCATCCAGGAAGGCAACAACGCTAACCCAAAATAAATTTTAATCCATTGTTTTAATTGCATTTTTGGGAAATCTAATTCTTTTCCTCCCAAATTTTTGTAACATTTCAATTTTGACAGAATAGTGCCTTGTATCTTAGATCAGAGGTTTTCAAATTTTCTACCCCACCTACTTGAGATGGCTGAAAACTGAAGCCAGTCAGTTTTAAAAGAGTGGTGCAGAGGCAAAGCCATTCACAAAATGGTGGTGGATGAAGGCAGAATTTGGCATAATCAGATGGCAACAGATTACATTTTCTACTGATAGCTAAGCCCTCTTAGGAAATGTACGATTTCTTTGCCACAATGTTTTCCTTGTGGCAAGGAGCACCATAGCAAGCTAAGTACAGACATTTGCAGTGGAGGTATTGTGATAGCCTCTACATTTTAAGCAGAATTTGCTGATCCAGAGGCTCTTGTATATTTCCTTTCTCACTGCCACGTGCCTCCTAAAATCAGACAAGATTTCTGAACCCCAGAACACAGTAACACTTGACTTGGATAGTAGCCTATTCTTTTTCTATAGTCTTAAGTCTGAGCAGGTAAAATATTCTAGCTTTGAAATGCTAAGGCAGATATGTACTTTAACAGCAACAGAGAAAGGGTATAGTTTTACATCAGTACACTTTGAATTGCAAAGTGCAATTAAATAATTTAACCCCACTTCTAAAGTGCATAGTTATGTTACAGGCAAACGGATAGCACTATCTGGTCAATAGAAGGGTCAGCTGGTAGTTATAAGCAGCATGTGTATATTTTGTGCAACAACAACAACAACAACAAAAGAACAACAACAAAAGGATTTCATGCATAGAATTGCTGAATCCTAAATATTGATCTGTGAAATTTTGCTTATTTTACACAATTTGATTTGCTTCTAACTAGCCATGGAGGGGGGGCAAGCTATACAGACTCAATCTTCAACCCACTGATACCTGAAAACAATGCTCAACAACTTCTATGACTATGGTATTTACTCCAGGCACTGCATACTCACATTTTATCACACCAGCTAAAAATGCTGAAAGCTTGGTTTTGTGGGGGGGGGGTTTATTTATTTATTAGTAAAGCCTGAGATTCTCAGGAATCTGAATTCTGCACTTGTATGGAATTACAGAATACACATTAGCGGTTATGAGGCAGGTGATGTATTGCCATTAAGCACAAATACCAAATGATACACCATACAAACATAAATTTTTAGATCAGCTTCAGTGCTAAATCAGATATTTCAGTTTCAGTCTCTTACCCAAATATTGTGAAAGGGATCTGTCCCATTGTCTGGATCATATATAAGGCAATTTCCACCATAATCTCTTTCTGGTAAGGGGACTCCTAAATTTGGATCAATGAATTTCATAAACTGTCTTCCATCATGTACAGTCTAAAGAATTAAGCACATCTATTAGTAAGAAACAGTTAAAACAAGTTCTAATGTGACAAAATATTGTACTGTTCTTGCATAGTAATTTTAACATTTTCTAAGATGGCAACACAGGTGGAAGAGTCAAGCACATTTGGTTTCATTACCTTAAATAAGAGATTGGATAAAGCCCTGTGTCCATTCACTGCTTAAAGAGTATAAGTTAATAACCTACACAAGACAATACTAAAGACAGATAAAAGTCCCCTCAATGTATTCTTTTCAGTACCTTCTACAAACATTGCTTAGACAAGCCTACCCAGATGCTTAGAAATGCTGATGTGAATTTTAATCTGTTTTAGTATTTCAACTTTTTGTATGTTTGTAATATTTTCTTGATTTAATGGTTTTTCTTTTTGTAATGGTTTTTTACAATCAAGCGGTGTATAAACTTTATTAAATAAATAAAATAAAATTACTGCAGCACTCTCCTAAGTGTACTCTGCACTCCACCCCTAATTGTGGCACCCATAGAACATGCTTCATTAACAACAAGCACCTTTGCTTCCTGAACGACAGAAGCAAGCTCAAATAACTGGCACTTGGCTACAGGAGACTAGTACTAAGAGTGTAAGAGCAACACATAGGAACAATATTCAGTCCAATAGGCCACCTGTTAACAAAGGGCTGCTTTAGGGAAGTTGTGCTTATGGTTCTCACCCCTGAAAGTATAGGCTCCATTTTGAAAGGGAGAAAAACAGCTTGGCTCAGGCAGTTCCCTTTCTTTTTTTGGAAAGGGTGAATAGATCCACATCTAGAAATAATTGCTTTGACTCAAAACAGATGGGCAGGTACATGGCCACAACAAAGCTGGTAGTATTTAAGTCCCATGGTTGTGACACACCTGACAGGTAAAGAGTATCTGAGCCTGCCTGGAACCTCTGGAGCTGTTCAGAGTGGGGAGGGGCACTCTCACAGAAGCAGACCTAGATTATTATGGCATTTCTGCAGGGAATAGGCTCAACTGGGAACACTGAAATCAAGAATAAGAATTTTCACAACCTATGGAATTACCAAGAAGTGCTTTCCTGGTTTACTTGCAAATGAAATAGTAGCTAAAATACTCTCCCAGTGTTCTGAGAGACTAGTCCCCATGTAGCATAAGGTGCTGTGATAAGCTTAACAGTTCTCAGGAAATCCCATGCAAGATACGAGACTGCTACCCAAACACTTTTGCCAAGAACTACCTACCTAGCCAGAGGGGAAAGTCCTGACAGAAGCTTCCTTGGCTTTTGTTTACATGGATGTGTGAAAGAAAATGAGTGCAGAGGCAATAATCCCCTTGCCTTGAGAAGAGTGGATACCTCCTCTTCTGACAGCTCTCAGTAACATTCTGCACAGGTACATTTTCTTATATTAGACTGTAGGGATGCCATATAGGTCCGCATAGTTAAAGCGATGGTTTTCCCAGTAGTGATGTATGGAAGTGAGAGCTGGACCATTAGGAAGGCTGATCACCAAAGAATTGATGCTTTTGAATTATGGTGCTGGAGGAGACTCTTCAGAGTCCCATGGACTTCAAGAAGATCAAACCTATCCATTCTGAAGGAAACCAGTCCTGAGTGCTCACTGGAAGGACAGATCCTGAAGCTGAGGCTCCAATACTTTGGCCACCTCATGAGAAGAGAAGACTCCCTGGAAAAGACCCTGATGTTGGGAAAGATTGAGGGCACAAGGAGAAGGGGATGACTGAGGACGAGATGGTTGGACAGTGTTCTCGAAGCTACAAACATGAGTTTGACCAAGCTGCGGGAGGCAGTGGAAGACAGGAGTTCCTGGCGTGCTCTGGTCCATGGGGTCACGAAGAGTCGGACATGACTAAACAACTAAACAACAAGGCATGCCATGAAGAATTAAATTATACAAATTGTATTATGGGAGGGGGCATAAGGCAAAGCACGTGCTTTATAGGCAGAAGGTGCCTGATTAAAATCCTGATGGGTCCAGTATGAAGTAGGTCCCTGGAGAACTGCAGTCAGTCAAGAGTAGATAATACTGAACTAGATGGACTGGTGATCTGGTCTGGTATAAAGAGAGCTTTCTATGTTGCACATTTCCTTTTAAAGAAAACTTCCCATTTTATTGTTCATGTTTGTTACCTTTTACAAAACTTCTTTAAAAATCCCCAATAAACTGCATAAAAGATGCAATTTTTAAATCCTTACCTGAAAAAGTATGAAGATGAGGAAAAGCTCATACACTACACTGACACACAGCCAAAACCTCCAGTAGGCTAAAAGAACAAGCAAGAAAATCAGAACATACACATAAATGGGTATCTTTAGTGCAGAATGTATTTTAAGTTATGGAGTGATTATGCCTTCAACACAACACTAAACAAGATTTGAAATGTGCTGCTAGGAACCCACATTTTTTCAATTATCCACATTTATTTATAATCAAGGATTGTTTTTGCACAACATAATCTTGTTCTATTCCTTTGAGACAAGGTTCACATACATATTTAATAGCTACCTACCAGTGTCATATTTAGGAAGACAAGATGACCTTTCAAAATCTGATGTCTGATAATACCCTTGCTAAACAAGTTCTCTCTTTGTTCCGCCCATAGTTGATGAAAATGGTCCCAGTATTAAGGAATATAAGGCTAGATGGATATAGCTCAGATTTTCCACTCTGGCAAAAAATATCAGTTCTGATTTTATTATGATAGTTTTAGATATTCCATTTAAGTATCTCGTGAATGAACAACCAGCATAGGCAATGTTCCTCAGACACACCTCAAATTATAAACATTTACTAAGCTTTCTTCAAAGTGTCTCACAGCATTGCTATTTTTAACTACTCCTGTTTTGGCAACTTAATTATGAGACTTCCACAACTAACACACTGTAATGCACTTGTTAAAACTAGGATATGGTAAGTATAGTTCAAATGCCCACACACAGGCCCCTGCTGTGAAAAGGTCCTCATTTGCCTCACAAACGCAAGACCTAATTTACAGGGTCATTTTTCTGTCAGGAATGCTAGGAATTGTAGTCCCATGATGGTGGGGTAGGAAGAATGAAAGGGCCAGTTCCAGCCCTAGTCCCCTGCTAGGAATAGGAACACCCATCACTGTCTCACCCAAATAAGGTTTGTAGTTTTGTAGTGCCTATGCGTGTTCTGTGGCTGCTCACAAGGAGCATTTGAAAAGATCAAGCTCCATTCAGGGCAACCATAGGAATGCTCATGCATCCCTAATTAGCACTCATTTCTCTTCAGTGACAGATCACTCATTTATTCTTTTATTCTAGCACTCTCATTAACAGCCTTATGTCTTCTTCACTACTCAAGTTCAGACGACAGAGTAGCTGAAATGTCCTTTCTCTAATAGCTTTGTTGCTCTGTAGAAAGCAGATATTTTATGCTTTCCAAGCAGTTTTGGAAATCATTTTATATAACTGCAGAGATGTGTGCAGTGTTTGGAAATAATGCTTAACTCAGGAGGGGTGTGTGTGAAAATTGGCCACTTATTCCTTTTGAACCATTTTCAGATGATCCACCCATTCAATATTACAAAAGCATCTCCATTCTATCAAGTTGCCTTTTTCTTCTCACGTATATGATAGAAAAGGTAACATTTCTAACAGTGAAGGTCAGCACTGAGTTACAATTTCTAAATTGTTTTTCATTATGTTTTGCTTCAAAACCAGTACTATGAGTGTTTAAAGCACTCAGTTTGTTGACAAGTGACTCACAGAATCACATTATGTGACAAAGACTGCAATTCTGAACATGCCTGCCAGGGAATAAACCCACTGACCAAAGTAGGCCTGATTTGAGAGTTGACAAGCATAGGATTGCACTGTAAGGTCTGCACACTCATCCTCCTTCAACAAACAAAGAAAGAAAATTAACATCAATTTGAAAATGAGGATACTTAACAGTATCAGTCATTTGTTAGATATGCAGAAAAATCTATGGGCCCACCCTCTCCACAACTGTAGGAATGTTGTTTTAAAAAATTGGGGGGGGGGGTGAGTGAATATGAAATAATACAATATTGATTACAATAATCATGCTTTGGAAATTCACAAAACAACAGATACACAGAAATGAATGCATTTTGGTTATTCCCTTCCAACTCTACAATTCTATGAATCACTAGAGACTGAATACATTGGCATGGAAAATGGACAGAATATCCTCAACAGACCAGAAGAAAATCCAGGACTTTAAGATACTCAGTACAATTACACAATATAAACTGTTATGAAAAGGAATAATCAACAATAGAAATACTTCAAAACATTTGATTCTTTTTATTTCTTATTGGAATTGGCATTATACAAGGGAATCTGTGGTGATGGATATCCCAAGCATGTAACATAAGAACTGAATTGATGTAACTCAGAAAATGCTTTCTTGAGGCATATGAAATGGGCACGTCCTATGATGTTTCTTTCTGGTCATAAATTACAACGCTTTATCAACTTTGTTTTGGAGATTTTTTTTGCAAATGTTCACACACTCTTAAATTATATTTCTGTGATGTGTTGAATAACAGACAGGCAACAAAAGTAGGTTTGAGAACCTCATGGTAGCTAAAATACCTATACTGAGAAGTTGGATGGACAAATATCTACCATCTATCAGTTAGTGGTTTGAATCTCACTGCCCTTTACATTTGAATGAACAACTTCTTAATTGTAAATTCTGTTTAGACACCTATTTGGACATTTGAATTACCTATGTTTATATCAGAATTATATCATATGTTTATATCAGAATTGTCAGAATATTCTTAATGTTAATATCAGCTGGCAATCTTATTTTTGTTGTTATTTATATTTATTTTGTTATTTTTTTCTGTTATATTTGCAAAATTTGATTGTATTTGTTAAGCTGCAATTATATAAATATAATAATTTTTTACAAGAAACAAGGATACTGTGCTATCTAAACAAATAGAGCCATACTGCTGCACTCTTGCATCACAGTAGCATACTTCAGCAAATTCTCTACAACAATATTTCTATTGTACTTCTGACTAATGAAATAAAAAGTATGTCAGACAAAAATATTAATGCTCTGAAGAAGAGTGTTTGTGTGTAAAACTTCCCACAGAGGAAGCTGTCTTTGTGATGCAAAACATTTATCAAGTTACCATGTTTAGCAAATCTTCAAGTGAGGTATGGTGAATACAGTAAATACATTGGTGTTAAACACCTTAATGTTTTTTTGTTTTTTTATCATTTTCAGTTCTACAAATCTGCACAGTGGTGTTTAGCCAAATACAAACCATACATTTTCCATCAACTTCCCTTTTCAATACAATTATTTATGTCACATCTTCAAGGATACTTGAAAGAATTTGTAACAACAATATACATTAATAAAGTCACAAAAATATCAAAATGTAACAAGTCATCAGGATCTTTCCCACAGGGCATTCAATAGTAGACAACCCTATTGTGGGGAAGACAATAGTCCAGCTGGAGAAGGCTATTCTTTGCCTGCGTCTCTTTCTATCCCACAGTCTTTTCCACAGGGTGGCTGGTGGCAGATGGACTTGTGGAATTGGGGCAGGCGGCAGACAGTGGAACAGGAGCATGAATTTAGTGCTCTCTTTGCCTGCCTCTCTTACTCAGGTAAGTTATTTTTGGTAGAAGAGGCCGGGGGGGGGGACGACACATACACCTTTTCCAGGTATAATCTAAATCTGAAATAGATAACTGAAATGTGTCCTTTTCTTAAGCACTCACTAAGCGGAATGTTTATGTTCCACAATGCTCCACAGTTGCAGTTCTCCAGCCTACATACACATACACCATTGGCCTGATCTAGCAGGTTCTTCTTACGTTTTTATAGCAAATACTGTATTTACTTGAATCTAATGCACCATCGAATCTAATGCGCACCTTAATTTTCAGAACCTTGAAACCAAAAAAAGGTATTTGCTGGCGAAAGTAAATGTGCCATCAAATCTAATGCACGCCTTAATATTTGCAATGTAATTTGGCCAAAAAATGTGAGCATTAGATTCAATTAAATACGGTAAAATATGTCATCTGTTAAGTGACTAATGAGTACACAGTCAGATGAGGACTTCTGAAAACTATGCTAGATTCTGATAATGAAATCACATTCTACCTAGGGGATACAGGCTATGAAACATAGGTTACTACTTTCAACATTTACATATAACCATTAGGAGCCATTTTACCAAGTGCATCATTATCAAGATAATTTTTATGATATGAGCAATTTTGATTACCTGGATGAGGTCTTGAAAATGGGCCATCTTTTGCTTGAGTGACTCCAAAACACAAGAAAACTAAAATGCTGGCAACAATACCTCTGGAAAAAAAACACTTTCAATTTACATCTGTTCATGAATGGTTTTTGTTAAATATGTCTTTTGAATGTCCATAGAACATCTAAAATCAGAAAAACTATTTGAAGGCAGTCTAGTCTTGAAGAATGAAAGACCATGAAGTTCATACTCTGTGATAAATAGGTTGTTTTAGATACATTTTAGTAGTCAAAAGCATGCAACAGGGAAGAAAACTGATTTTGCCTGGCTCAATATTAACTCTTCTTACCTACTAAAAGCTGTTCGCAAATCCTTTTGAGAAAAACCAAAAGATACAACACTGATTCTCTTAAAATTGAAAGGCAGGTCGGTTCTTAAAAATCTTATTCAGATCAGTCAAGCAGTTGGCACGATTCAATTTCCACAGCTTCTGCTTTTGGTGTGGCCATATCAAGAAGGGAATGATTCAGAGATTGAAATTCGCAGGGCACTAGGCGCATTTCGTACCTGGCTATTGGCCTCTTACAATCAAGTGAAGATTCTTGGGCACCTGGTGCCTGATGTCTCCACCATCAGAAGGTGCATGTCTGGGGATCTTTAGATCTTTCCTGTTTCTGCACACTAACAACACATCCTTTAGAATTCTATCCACAATATTTTATCTGCACAATCAGAACAAATTTCAGGAACCAGAAAGTTGTATTGAAAAATACAACTTTCGAGCTGTCTGGCTCCAAAATGCCAACTAGACATTTCATTTTGGCAACTGTAACCCTGGTTTAAGGAGCCATTTGGTGTCTAGCTTATTTATCTGAGTTTCTAACACTGAAATTATTTCCCATGGACACTAATGAGGTCTTGCTGAGAATCAAGACCTTATGAGGTCATTGCTACCTGCTTTGGTAGCAGCTGAATTCCTTCCTAGCAGGGACTCCCTGAGAAGTCTACCAGGCAGCTTCTTCCCTACTCAATGTGCCAAAGCTGATAAAGGTAGCAAGGGGATGGAAGTCCCAAGTGAACTGCATGTCTGGGTATGGATCCACCAGTCTGTAGCTGAGTTATAATTAACTTGCCTGGTCATCTGCAACATGGGAAGTCCCCTTTATACAGTCTGACATGCTTCCATTTGTCATTCATACCATAAACAGTTACTTGGCTCATAAATGTTATGGGGAAGCACAGGTAATATTCAGCCTCCGTAATGTGTAGCTAAAAGGGGAGTGAGGCACAGTCATAGATCAACAGGTCTGGCTAATTACATACTAGTTTTCCATAGGCATATGTGATCTCCTTGGCACTTTAAAACTGTCTGGAAAAGGCTGTAACATATTCTATTTCTGCACACGTGAATTAATCCTTAAAGAAAGTCAACCTAGTATTTAAGTATTTCCAGTACACAAGCCACAATTACAGAGCGATATTCAATGTTAGTAATACTCAGAGTAGATCAATTGGAATAAATGATACTAACTCAAGTCTATGATTTCAGCAGGTCTACTTTGAGTCTGACTTAGTTGGCTATCACCTTATTTAGTGTGGCTGTAAGTTACCACAAAAATTTTAATAACTAAAATAGATAGAAATATTTTCAAATCAATCAAGTTACTGAACCATAGTACTGAAACCTAGTTATAAGGATGAACTGTTTAAACTACTAAACTATTGGAAGCCACACCATGTCTTCAGATTCAGTCAGGTTTGTGACCTCTATAACAAAGTATACTGCCCTACACCAATGCTAAAAATCAACATCTGGGTCATAAGACAACACGGAACCAATTTATAGACCCTGTTTAAGTTTCACTTTATACACGAAGGCAATCTAGATTAAACATGTTGCTTTAATTCATCCATTTTGCTATAAATCATCACTGTTTTCATCTTACCATAATTTGAAATTATGTTGCTTCTTGAGTAAAAAGATAATTGCTAATCTGAAGTTTGAGGCACACATATCAGGCTATGTACAGTTTTAGAGTTTTATAACTCTATAAAGGGAGTCCAATTCACATAGATTATTTATGAAACTGTACATCGTCATGGAAAAGCTAAAGAACTAAATGAATGGTTTACGCCTTCATTTGGTTTTATGTTCCATAAAACCAAAGCAGCAAGATCAATTCAAATTGCAGGAACCTAAATTATCTGTGTGCAGACCAAAAAGCAAGTCAGCAGCCTTGAGTGGCAAACCATGATACTGCAACAAAATCTGCACTCAGATCTGGAACTATAGATATATACCCAGAGTATAATGCTAGCCAAGGTGCACCAGGTTAACAAGCAAGTTGAAGTGCAGCCTCCATTTGAACTCTTAATCCCTTATGCAGAATTAGGCATGCTTTCTTGTTAATTTATAGAGAAAAAAAGACCAAAACAGGGTAGAAATACATCTTCTAATTGCTGCCTGATAGTACTTTATCACATGTAATTACACTGATCACCACCTTACATCAACAACACAGTGCACTTGAACCTGCTCACATATTAAGGATATGCTCAGTAGTTTAATTATTTTTAAATATTACTTCTATATCACCTTTCATGAAACAATCAATTAACAATATACAATGGGTGGAATTCAATATAGCACAAAGGAGAAAGTGCAAGCATTTTAGCTTGCCCAACAGAATTGATAAAACAATTTCCCCTTTCTCTTCCCACCCCCGTTCTGGGGGTTCTCCCAACCCTCCAGAAAAGATTTGGGGGAGGTGCAAGAGGGAGCCCCATTCTTCTTCTGGGAATCTTCATGCTGGCATTCACTAACGGAACTGGGTAGCTGAATTCAGCCCATTAAAAATAATTAAGACAATACAACAGCAGCTACAGAGCCAGTACAAATTACAGTAAGCTGGTATTAATGGGCAGTGAAGGCTGGGGAGAAAACTTTTATCAGGCACCAAAACAAAGCACCATTGGTGCCTACTTATCACACAAGACAATGTTGTTTTATAGGCTTGGTAACACAATGAAAAAGACCACCACCCTAGTTACTGCAAGATGGATCTCAGCAGGCTGTAGCACAAACATAAGGGCCTCATTCAAATATCTTACTGACTGGGTAGTCTGTAAACATAACCTGGGCCCAAGTTGTTTAGGGCTTTGTAGGTCAGCACCACAGAACTGGCAGCCAGTGCAATTCTTTTATAAGTGGTGTCATATGTTACGCTATGCTTGCAGCAGTAGCTCAACTTAGTCAATGCAGCATTAAGGGGGATGTTGCAGAGACATCTAAAATGTGATTAGGAAATAAACTGCATATCTGTATCCACCTACACAGATGAATCATTGGCTAAATACTGGTTATCACTTCTGCCCAGTCAATGACAACATTATGAGATCCCTCAGCTTTTTTTAATTCAGGTCACAGTATGAAGTTTGTGTCCCTGCACTCCCTTCCCTTCGTGATGAGAATAGGTTTCCAAATGTGAAATCTAGGAAATATGTCATCTATTATTTTTAGATCTTTTACATCCATCAAATCATGTTGCTTTCTTTTATCTGCAGTCAATTGTTTTTGACTTAAAGATAACCTCAGGTTATTCAACAATGTGAGAGCATGAGAAGAGTCTTTGGTTCAAACCAAAGACGCATCCTGTTCTCATAGTAGCCAATGAGATGCCCAGGTGAAATCTACATCCGAGACCTGAGTATAAACAGCACTTTCCCCCATTTGCAATTACCACCAACTGGCATTCAGAGGCATATTGCTTCCAAGACTGGAGATAACACATAGACATCACGGATAGCAGCCTTTGATAGTATTACCCTCCATGAAATCTAAGCTATTCAATGAATCCCTAGAACAAAGCCCCTCATTAGATACCACTAAGAATAGGATGCCCTTCCAAAAGAGGATTGAAAGGTGTGCTACTCTAGACTTCAGAGTGTGGTCAGAACGATATACTGAGAGGCCTTAAGATTTGAAACTCTTCCATTTACAGCATTATCAATGCACCTCCAACCTAAACCTGTGAGTCCCTCAATAGCTCTACTCACATCTGGAATGAAGAACTGCAGCTCTGTTGAAGAGCATATGGTTTGCATACATACATACATTCACAGCTTCCGTTTCTGGCATTTTAAGTTACAGGATGGAAAAAAACCCTTGTCTCTCCAGCATTTAGATTTATTAGGCTGAGCTGGCTATTAGTCCAACTTTGTGTAAGGATTGGTACCTGCTAGTTTACTTAGGGGTCTCATCAGTGCTTTTTTTCTTAAAAAATGTTTAGGGGTACTCTCATTTTCCTACTCATATTGAAATACTGCCCCTCAATGAGGCCAAACTTAGATTCACAGAATGCTTAGGGGTATGCGTACCCCTGCGTACCCCCAGAAAAAAAAGCACTGGGTCTCATTCAGTTTTAGGTATGAATGGCATAACTATCATTTATTATAGAAATGGAAACTAGGATCAACTGGAATAATTCATTAATATCACCAGCATGGTGCCTTTAAAAAGTGCAAGATGACAAAGTACAAAATACTGTATAAAAATCTGAGGTCATCTTTAAATAAATTCACCAAGTTAACACAATAAACCAAGAACACTAATTGTATTCCAAGTTCTAGAATACACAGATGACACATTTCCGAAATTTTCCACAGACACCACTCACTCCAATTTTCCAGACCAATTTTCCACTTACAAATATTACTGAAGGCATGTCAGAATAGCATCACATTCTTTCAAGAGCACTGATGTTTGATAAAAAGAACTACAAAAGCCTACAATAAAAACTGCTGCCATGATAAAGGCAACTGAAAAACAACTCCAACAGGGTAGTTAAAGACCAGCCTCTCTTTTATAAGCATATATAGCCAAGTTCACACACACAATAAAGTCAAACCTCGGTTGTCGAACGTAATCCGTTCCGGAAGACCATTCGACTTCCAAAACGTTCAACAACCAAGTCGCAGTTTCCAATTGGTTGCAAGAGCTTCTTGCACTTAAGCCAGTGTTTCCCAACCTTTTTTGGGCAAAGGCACACTTGTGTCATGAAAAAAATCTCGAGGCACACCACCATGCCAGATGGGGAAAGGTCACTTTTTACTTATGTAAAAAAAAAAAAAAAATAGTAACAGCATAGTAATGGTAGATGACTGTTAGGGTCTCCCCCCAAATGCAGAATTCTATTAATATCTTCCTTAGCGAGCCGCGTTAACCCCTGTAATGCTTTCTATAGAGTAAGCATAGGGGACACTGGGGGATGTGGAACCAAGGGGGCAGTGGGCCAAAAGAGTTCGGGATCTACTGCTTTAAACAGAAATAAGAGCCAGTGGGTTCTTCCTTTTTTAAAGTATCGTTTCAGCGGGGACAGCAGTCCGGATTTCCAAAAAGCGGCGCTTTTTTGCGTCTGAGCAAAGAAGAAAGAGAGGGGGAAAAGAGAGAGAGATTGATTTGTGGCTGCACAAAGGGGGGAGGAGCCCAGGAGTAAAAGTAGGAAGGACGAAGGGAGGGGAAAGGAAAGTTAATAGAAGGAAAGGCGGGTGGGAGAGAAAGAGAAAGAAAGAGGGAAGGAAGGGGGGAAGAGAAGTGGAAAGGGGGGAGACCGAGGCGGGGGAGAAGCGTCTGGAGAGAGTTGCTCCGAAGTTTGGGGGGCCGCGGGGGTGGGCGCGCGTCCCAGGAGGCGGAGGCCAGCCCGGGCTGGGAGCCGCGCCGCGGCCCGGGGGCGGTAGGCGGACCGCGGCTCCTAGGATGTGGAAAGGGGACGGCGGCGCAGGGGGAGGTGACCCGCACGGCTAGGGCAGCGCGCAGGGGGAGGGGAGCGGGCCGGAGGCGGGCGAGGGGGGCCGCGATCCCGCGCGCCGCGAACATGGCCTCCTTCCCCGCGGGCCCCGCCGAGCCCCCCGGCCGGGGAGGGCGGCGCACCCCCGCCGCCGGAGGAGAGCAGAGGCAGGAGGAGGAGGACGAAGGCGCTGCCGAGGAGGCGCGCCAACTTCTGCCAACTTCGGCGCCCGCCCCGTCGCCGCAGGCTCCTCCCGGCCGAGAGCCAGAGGACGGCGGCGGAGCAGGAGGAGGAGGATCGGGTTTGGCGACGGCTGCTGCGTCCTCTCCAAGCGCGGGGCTGGCCTCCGCCGCGCCCGATCCTCCGCGCTCGCCCGCTTCTCGGCGGAGCAGGTCTCGTGCGGGTGTGAGGCGCTGCTGCAGGCGGGCGACCCCGGCCGGCTGGGCCGCTTCCTGGGCTCGCTGCCGCCCGACGCCGAGACGCCGTGCGACTTGCCCGCCTCCCTCCCACGGCACACCAGGCAACGTCTCGCGGCACAGTAGTGTGCCGCGGAACACCGGTTGGGAAACACTGACTTAAGCGGAAGCCGCGTCGGACATTCAGGTCCCGGAAAATGTTCGAAAACTGGTCTTCTATATTCGGGAGCCGAAACGTATAATAATGGAGGCATTCAGGAACCAAGGTTTGACTGTATTTTGCAGTTATATTTCTGCAACTTAAATGGTATATGGGAAAACCTATTATAATGTGCATCTATCAGCTATGCAACATCAGTTGATACTACACTTGTCATACACGCAAGAACCTGCAGCCAACGTTCTACAGGTATACAGCCTGACTTAATACAAGTTCTGAACTAAAAAACCCCCCCACCATTTTGAAATATCTTTCTGGCCCTAGGTAACATTTACCTAAGAGAGCCAGTCAGTTTACATACATCATAGGGTGACAAATAAGAGAAGACATGACCTTTGCTGCTTCTTTCGTGGTGCACCTCTAATTAACAAGAGTTTTCTGTTTCATTCAAACTGAGACATTACAGTAACTATGACACAAACCAAGGTATTAAACCACAACAGTTTAAAGCTGGTTTAATATCCTGCACTGCTCTGAAGCTGATGACCATAATTTCCTGTTTTGTCCAGACTGTACTGCGATTTCCACTGGAGTTTCATATGCATTCTTCTCCGAGTCTTTGTTTCACCATTATACAATTCACTCTGGCCATACCGCATTAGCTTGACTATAGCCCTATAATCTTACTGTAACACAGGTGAGCCTTTGTGCTGAAAGTGGGTGGGAGAAAGTAGTATTTGGCATTGCAGGGAGGGAAACGAGAGGTGGCAGCAACATAGCTGGCCACTAGCCTTGTCACCTATAATTTCTATTCTACCACAACACCGTAATTTCCAGCTACTCCACAAGTAGCATGCACATATTTCAATATATTCAGACACGTTCAGTAGCTTTAAATATACAAAAATTCAGTAAGTGGTTCCAATATGAACCAGTTATATGAAAACTGTAACACAGGAACTATAGTTCCCACAATATATTTTTTTATAATTGTGGTAGAATTAAACTTCATACTCCTTCCATCATTCTATCTGCACAAGCACTGCAGCTTGCTAGATGGAACAACCCCTCCCCTTCCTCCCCCTGCACACTGTTCTGGGGAGCCTCCTGACACACACCTGCACAGAGGCAGAAAGCCCCAATATGCAAGAAGAAGTCTGCACAGGGCTTCTGCGGATTATGTGAATCCTGGCTAGGTGAATCCTGCCCAGTATTATTTAACAAATTTTACGTACGACTTACTCTACAGAAAACATCAATCTGTTTTATTTTCAGCAGATAGGAATATTTTAATAATGCTTCTCTATCGGAGAAGCCTTTTGGTTTATCCTTTTTATTTACTTTACTTTGGGGCAGTCTTTTAAATCTCATGATAGAAGTCGAGGAATTCAGTCAATAAACAAAAGGCTTTTTTCCTTATACAACTACAAAAGTTAAAGCTTTGATATAACTGTGGAATCTCCTCATACAGAAAACATATTTACATATTTGGGGATGTTATTTTTACAAATGACAGGGGAGTCATTGCTATGCGTACAATGGACTGATAAATTTATCAAAATCCAAACTAAATTAAAAGTAAATATAAGAAAAATGGGTACTCTAGCTAGTTAATAATAAACTGGCAATAAAAGCTGACTGCAACACTTATGTGACAGCTAGTTACCTCTTTGTGTTGTAGGCTGTATCCTGTGGGGTTTCTTCAAGCAGTGTCACATATCCCAGGGTGCAGGTCAGGATGAACAGGACTGTTAAGGTGTGTGCTTGCCTATTGTACAGGGGGGTGGGGAGAGAGAGAGAGAGAGAGAGAGAGAGAGAGAGAGAGAGAGAGAGAGAGAGAGTCAACAACAAATAATATTTTTCAGGACTATTTACTGTTGCTCAGTATCTTCAGCAGGTTAAAATGTATTTATTTTATTTCATTTATTAAAGATTTACCCTTCCTCCAATCTAAAGTTCAGGGCAGCTAAATTTACTTAATTTATAGACCACTTTTTCAAAAACAGTTCACTTAAAAATACACTAAATATAAAAATAAAAGTTGAACATGATAATTGATTCAGGGAAAAACAAACAAACCCTATACTAAGAGTTTCCTCAAACAACCCAAAGCGTTGCACTCTTTGGAAGGTCATAAAGAAAGTTCTAGTCCTAACTTCCACAGACAGATCGTCCACAGCCTGCAAGTGTAATAACCCAAGCAGCACAGATGGTAACATCAAGCCTTGAGGAACACTTTCTACCAATTTCTAAGGGGTGAATTAGTTTCCAAATGGCAAAATTCTGAGCACAGTCAGACAGACACTGCTGCAGCAACAGCCCGTACGCCCGAACAAGGTGATCAAACTGACCTAAAAGAATGGCAAAGGTTGCAGTAAAAGTTACTCTGACAGCATTAGTACAAAAGCTGTCAATCTTTAGCTACCGTATTTTTCGCTCTATAACACGCAGATTTTTTCTCCTAAAAAGGAAGGGGAAATGTCTGTGCGTGTTATGGAGCGAATGTGTGGTCCCTGGAGCCGAAAAATCAGACAAAAATCAAATCGGGCTTCACAATTGCTGAACGGAACAAAGAGCAGGGAAAGCCCCTCCCCTCCAGGCAAGAAGAGGAAGTGGGTGCTTTCCTGCATTCTGCCTCAGGGTCTTACTGCCCTCCCGCTCTGTTTCGTTGCTGTGTTTGCTGAAACGGAACAAAGAGCAGGGAAAGCCCCTCCCCTCCAGGCAAGAAGAGAGGAAAGCAGAGCGTCCCTCTAATTCCTCTCCATGCTCCGGAGGGAACAATGTTTGTGAAGGGAGAGAGATTACAGGTTCAGTTTAAAATTCTGATTTGACTTCCTGCTTTTTGTTTTTGGGGACACACAGCATTCAAATATGCTTTCTTCCATTTAAAAGGATGAAATCCTTAAACAGTGTTTTGCCTGTAAATTCATGCGATCTGGAAGATTACAGTGTCTGTACCTCTTAAGGGATGGCAAAGCTTAGGTTTCGCTGCTAAATAGTTCTTAATGCAGTTAAAATGCTTTCTTCTGTCAAGGCAATTAAAAAAAATAAATATCAGGCAGCCGGAAAACATGCAGATGGGAGGGAGGGAGAGAGAGAGCGAGCGCTGGCTGGCTTGTGTGGGTGGGGGGGGAACTTTTGCCTTCCTTTCCTCACGTTATAGCCCTCTCCTGCATTCTTAGCCTTCTGTGTTTTTCCTTCCCTCCCCACTTAAAATGTGGTTACAAAGCATGGATCCACATGGATCCTCAGGATCTTTGCATTGGGTCACCCCAAATTCACCATCAGAGCACACAGCATGTCCATGGCTACAGCCTGCCCCCCAAAAATCACGCACCCACTGTTGCCTGGGGCTGCAATGGTGCAAAAAAGTGGTACAAAGCATGGATCCACAGGGATTCTCAGGATTTTTGCATTGGGTCACCCCAAATTCACCATCAGATCACATGTCTGTGGCCACAGCATGAAGCACAAAAATGATACGTCCACTGTTTCATTCAGAATATTTTTTCCCTTGTTTTCCTCCTCTAAAAACGATGTGCGTGTTATGGTCAGGTGCGTGTTATAGAGCGAAAAATACGGTAAGTAGGGGATCATAACACTGCATTGGAAGCTTTCCCGTAAATAAAACTTAGCTTCTGAAAATACAATTGCCTTCTCACAACTATATTGAAGCTTAGTATATAAATAATATGAGCACTGTAACCAACAGAACTACACTATGCATAATCAGTGTGCAGGAACTCAATTTTTCAACTCAGAAGACTGGAAGTTGAGGCACAATTTTAAGGAATTTCAGTTACACAACACACGAAAGATTATCAGAAAGGTTTGTTTCTCCACACTAACCAACACAAACATGTCGGCAACTTTTCCATGTACCAGCTTTCAGTAAACTGAAAACTCCTATTTATAAAGATCCAGTTTCAAATATAAAAGACTTTGCGTATTATTCTAAGAGAATAAGCATGCAGTGTTACACAATTCACATGATGGGACTTCCCTTTCTTCTCCTGCTCACTATATCCCTCTGCATGCTCTCCAATCTGTTCTAGAGGATCCTCAAACTCTTCAGAGCAGATTGGAAGGCATACAGGTGCTATAGTGTGTATGGGGAATTCATTTCACAAAGAGTGATGGATGATCATCATTCAATAGTTTTCTTCATTTCTCGGGGGCCACTTCACAGAACAAAGGGTCCAATATTCAAGCATCATTTAACAAAGGAACAGAAAAGGCAAACAATTTATCATCAATAGCAATAGTATATACTTTGTTGAGATGGCAGCAATAAGGAATGGAAGAGGACATTTATGACCTAGCTTCTATGCAGAGATTACCACCAGTTCAGTAAGCTATGGTTTAATTCTGTACAACTAGATTAGTTTTCTTTTGTGGATCCTACATAAGGAAATGTGGTCCCCAAGTTATGTTCCATTCCATTTTCTGCAAGTCACAGAATGACAGCTGCTTTATAAACTCTTAAGTATGAAACAAAGGACAGGCAGAATCACCCTGAATGACTTATTTTCAGCATTGGGGCATTCTTCTCCCAGAAATCAATGAAGACCCAGCAACTTTGGGATGAAAACAAATAAAAGGTAAATCATGGGCTCTTTTGGCAGCATTCATGTGCTCTTTTGGCAGCATTTATCTTTAAAAACCTCTAATCCATGCCAATCATCTATATTAGAGTACAGCATAAAATTAAACTCAATGAGAGGGCAGATTTTAGTAAATACACAAGAATCAATTTAAAGGAATCAGCAACAGGACAGCCATTTCCCAGCACTTTCCAGAAGTCCTAATGGAAAAACAAAGTCATTTGACAATGGTTCATTATTCTGTAAAAACAGCAAAGCTGAAAGAACTTGAGGGTTGCTCCACAGGTTCTGGCGCAACTCTCAACCAGTACACAGATAACCTCCCAACTTCTCCTTCATGTACTTCTGAAGTAGCTCACTTGGGGCCAAACTAGAAGTTATGTCAGAAGAAGTGAATTACAATAATGCAAAGCCCCTACAAAATGGGGTGGCAGCACTGATGGGCTGACAGCACAGGCAGGAGAAGCATCCCCTGCTATGGTCTCTCTCCAAGCCTGCTTTAAGGGGGGAGGGGAGAGAACCTTCCATCAGTGGTGCTCCATGACTGAAGCAAGCCTCACTAAGAGAAATAACTTAAAAGACTTTATTTTAGGCGGTTGGCACAGAAGGTTATTTAGCTCCCTCCCCCCTTCATGATCTCCCACTGCAATTTCACTACAGATTTCAGTACAATCCAGCCTAAATTGTGTTGCTGCCACATCTACTTTGCCCCTCAGTTGAGATGTTAAATGCTGAATGTTTCCACACAGACTATATTAAGGACCATATTAAATATTTATCTTAAGCAGAAGGACAGTTACAAACCTGACATAAAAAACAGCAAACATTTCAATCTCCCATGAACATACTGCTAGTCTGTAAGTCTCAGTTCTTCAGTAAAAGAATTTCAGAGGAAAAATTCTAGCATTAACATGCTGAACTACAATGAATCAAAACAAAAAAATATTCCTTCCAGTAGCACCTTAAAGACCAACTAAGTTAGTTCTTGGTATGAGCTTTCGTGTGATGCACACTTCTTCAGATACACATGCACACGAAAGCTCATACCAAGAACTAACTTAGTTGGTCTTTAAGGTGCTACTGGAAGGAATATTTTTTTGTTTTGACTATGGCAGACCAACATGGCTACCTATCTGTAACTGGTACAATGAATCAGTAAGTGATTTTAAGATTCAACTGAAACCAAATATTTTTTCTTCCCCTATAGGTGTGCTATGTTATGAAGTTTGTGCTACAGTTGTGAATGGTCGCAGTGCTTCTTTGTATACATTTCAACTTTGTATAGAAATGTCACACTGTTTACAAATGCACATGCACTCTCTGTACATGGATTGCACAGTTGCACTGCATCTACTGGCTACACTCTGCTTCCACCCACAATGCCTACACATTAAGAAAAATGTCAGGAAGAAAAACCATGCATGTGCCACTTTACATAAATATGGCTGCCCTTTCTAAGCATTTCACTGGATGCATTATTTTAGGGATTGAAGCCTAAGTGTACAGCATTCATATGGTGGCCAAATGTGTGTGCGAACAGTCCTCATACGCCTCTTACACCAGCAGTGGAGAAGCTCTGACCTATGGGGCCCAATTAGGCCTTCCAGGCCTTTCCACTTAGCCCATGAGACCATTTTGACAGAGCCATGCTCACCTGTCCTACACCTGACATCATATATGATATTGGCTGTGGGGCAGGCAAAGGGGGAATTGCAGGCATCCCCCATACAGTTCTCTCTAAGCACCACTCATCAGCTGATTGATTACCAGTGCTTGCAGGAAGTCAACCAACTGGTGTCACGACGACATTGGGCAACCTAATTTTGCCCAGTGCAGTATGTGATTTTTGAAGTTCTGACAATAAGCTAATTGTTGGGGCTTTAAAGTGCAATACAAGGCTCTCTGGAAGTACTAACAATCAGCAGGCTATCAATGATTGCAGAGTTGTGTGCAGCTCTTTGAAACTCTAACAATTGGACAATGGTCAGGACCTTTGTACCACACACAAAGCCATGTACCACACAGGGTGAAAAACATAACCATCATCACAGGGATGTCAAGTGATTGATAGGTGGGTGGTCCCTATCAAACTTAGCTTGCAGAGGTCAGACTCTATGATCCAGACCACTGACCAGATCCAACCCCCTTTTCCTCTTTTACATTTAATGAGCATTCAGCCTCATTTACATGTTTGCTTTTAAACTGAGGGTAACACTTCATGTATCTGATGAAACTGACTCTTGTCCATAAAAGCATACACCATACTAAATCTGTTTATCTTTAAACTGCCAATAGATTATCTTCTTTTTGCTGTAACAAACGCTCAGAGCATGAAAAATTACTTAGGACTACAATTGTAATACTACTGGCTGGGAGTAACTCCTAAAGAAATGCAATGGGGTTTTTAAACTGTTTATTTGTCTTTTTCAGATACTATACAGAACATTGAATGACTGAATGGGGTTTATTTTTGAGTGGACATGTATAGTAGCGATGGGGAACAATTTTCTGGCCAAGGGCTGCATTTCCTTTCAGGCAACCTTTTGTGGGCCACAGGGCAGCGCTACGTGTCAGAGACAAAAGTGGGAAGAGCATGAAATGTAAAAAATTACCTTTATATAATAGATTAGTTTCTACACATATTTCTCTAGTCTCCATTCAGACAAACAAAAGGTAAAATATTACTTCAAAAACACATCTCAGTCAGACAAAAACACTCAAGGACACTACAAAGCCAGCAAGGGGCATGCCTGGAAGAGTTCCAAGAGCAACAGAGCTGTGTTTAGCCTTTTAGACTGAGGTTCTCCACCCCTGATGCACTATTGTCCTTCCAAAAAAATCAGAAAGTATGTGTACATGCTGCACTTTGTGGCAGCATGTATGTTAATCCACCTTAAATTATGATCAATGAAAAATTACATTCCTCAGTTATTCACTATTAGAATGAACTAAACTGAATCTCTAAAAGAATGTGTTTGGTGATCAAGGTAACATAAAATACTATGAAAGATCAACATTCTGTCAGTTCTTAGATTCCTTTTTCAAAAGTTAGAGCATATTCAAGTATCAAATGTAAGAGTATTTAAGAACTCATTAAATACTGCACTTCTCTTCATAGCTTAAACGGACACAAATAATCAAAATAGCAGTTAAACAAACAATGGTCAAATCATTGAAGACAATCTAAAAGATCTGACTATACTATAGAACACTTATCACCCAGAATAATGAAACATCATCAACAGTGTTGGAAAAATAGTTCAGCAATAAAATGTACAACCTTTAAACTAGTATTAAAGAAGCAATCAAGTTACAATTTTACCCATTCTCCATTGAAAGGGCAGGACTGTGCCAGTATGTCTGCAAGATCCAGTTATTTGGTCACTAATTCAGCCAATACACAGCAACTTCCCAGAATGTTCTCTGTGGTCCTTCCTGAACTCTGATAAAAGATTGTGTTTCCTAAACCTGAGATATTGCAGGCTCTAAGTCAGTCCCTACAATGTTGCCGGAATGAAATAACCACTACAGCCTCACTAGGTATACTCTATGTTTGCAGAACTCTCACTGAATATCAGCAGATCTTTCAAGATCAACATACTCCAAATTTTATTACTGCCAAGATCAGAGGAGTCAGACTCAGGGGCAACCTCAAGCCAAACCAGGTCGGAGTCACTTCAAATCAGGCTCTTCTATCTTTACTAAGCCTCTTGCAGAACCAGAAAAACTATGCCCTCTGTTGTCTTTGAAGAAGATAAATTGATGTCTAAAGCTAATCATTGTATTCCCTTTTCCATAATTGATGTATGTGGCACAAGAAGAAGAAAGGGTTTTGAAGCTGGAAACCATGTTACTTAACATACTGTGGAGGATAAAACGCTTGAGAATTTTTTTAAAAGTTTGCAGGAAATTTTCTCTATCCCAGTGAAACTAAGGACACTGAGTTGATGCTTAATTAAATTACCAGATTTCCAACTAACATCATGCTGTTTGCTAGAAAATAATTTGCCCTCTCAAGAATTGCATGAAAAGAAAAAGTTACACCCATTGTGGAGGAAGAAAAGAACCATCATTCTGGGTATTACATTACAAGCCTAACAACTGTAATGGAAAGAGAACAGTGGCACCTCAAAGATATAAAGCAAGTGGAATAAATAAAGACACAAAGTGGAAAAATATACAAGAATTAGTGATGCCACAATTACGATATCTTTCTGGGTAGGTATTGTACTATATCTTTTGTTGTTGTGTAGGCTTTTCATGGCAAAAGAATTTTTATTATTTTTTGCTTTGAAGATGGTTTTGATACAGTCTTTTTTCATACTGTCTCAACAATAATAAAGTATGGCTTTGCTTTTAGGTGTGCATCAGGACAAATAAAGTTTTAACCAGTTCTGTTTGAGAATATAATAAACAAAACAAGGTAGTCATGTTAAGTCTAAAGGAGAAAAATAACATCACACAAGTGCACACCTACTTCATCAGATATGGATGTGTTGAGGTCTGTCAATCCTTTTTTTACTATAGATGAAAAATTACTTACTAATATGTAAATATTAGTAAATATTCTGCCTCCATCTCTTCAGGAGACTGCTCAACTACAAAAGTCACACTATCTTTCACTACTTGTGTCTACAAAACCTTATGTTTTTGTAGTACAAATGCTGGAATAGTAGAATGATATCTGGAAAACTATCACAAACCATTAAGCAAGGGCACTTAGAGAAGTGCTCTTCTCTACAAACCGCCCAGGCAAGTATTTTCTTGAGATAAGGAGATGAAAGTGTGATTTTGCCTTTCAACTACCACAAGTAGGCTGTTGCCTAGGAAAGTTATCCCACAAGTGTGCAATTGAAGCAAGATCAAATGTATTTACTCAGAAATTAAGTCTAACTGAATTAAACAGGATATATTTCCAAGTATGCATGGGAAAGGAGTCTCAGTTTCCTCTTGGTGCTGTAAATTACAGATATTTCTCAGAAATTTTGCTATATCAAAAATACTCATCAAGCCAGGAGAGGTGGAAAAAGCCAGCAGTAAATATAAAGCATATTTACTCAGCAGTAAGTCGTACAGAGCTACGTGATATTTACTCAACAACTGTGTTTAGGGATGTAACACTAATCACTTCCCCGACTGACCGCAATAGCCGAGGAGAGAAACCAAAGGAGGGCCAATTCCTAAGAGAAGGAACAGCAGAAGTCACTTGAGAAAAGAAGCAGGTTCAGCAGGGCTCCTGGGAAGGAGACACCCAGGAAGAGAAGTCCAGTCTGATTCCAACGAGATGCACACCCTTCTTTATATCCTTGGTTCCAGCATCCTCAAGTTCACCGCGCTCACTCCCGTCTCCTTGTTGGTCCCTAGCCTTTTAAACGGACAGCCTGCCTACCCGCATCTTTAGTTGTGCATACACGCGTCTATTTACTGTGGGCAACCCGTGTCCATGGACTGCGCCGTTTCCTTCCGCGTGTCAGGGGGAAAGGGCCTTGGAGAAGAGAGGCGACTGGGGGGAAGGACACGGGGCGCCCTGCTCCGGCCCCCTTACCAGAAGAACGTGTTGGTCCCGTCATCGTACACCTCGGACTCCGTGCTGCGCCGGCTTCCGTGCGTCGTGGTGGAAGCAGTGGTGGTAGTGGGGGCGGCGGCGGCTCCCGGCGTCGCGCCCCTACAGCGTCGCGGCGAAACCTCTGCCACGGGGGGAGAAGCCCCATTGGGCTCCGACAGCGGCGGCTGCTCCTCTTCCTCCAGGGCTGCCTTTCCGGAGCCCCCTCCGTGACCTCTCCGCTCGCTGCGCCTCATGACGGGGACGGCTGGCTGCAGGAAGGCGGCGGGGAGAGAGCGGCGACTCAAGCGACGCCCCGCGCGCACCAGGCGGGCCCCTCCGCGCGCCCCATCTGAGAGGAAGAGGCGAGCCCAAAGAGCAACAGCGCGCTCCGCAGCTCACAGGCGGCGCTTCAGCACCGCTTGCTCGTGACCCCACGTAGGCCGGGGTCGAGGGGCGGGGCCGCGCTCGCGGAAGGCGTGATTCGCTGCCAAGGCGTCGCGCGTGCGCAGTCGGGGCCGGCGGCATGAACTCCACAAGCCAGGAGAGGGCGAGGGGACAGACAAAATGGGGCGTGGTTTTTTTGTGTGTGCTCTGTTAGGCTCTTCTAGTCCCGCCCCTACAGCTTTTAGATAAGCGTGCATGCGCAGCTTCAAAGTTGCAGCCGTGGGCTTGCATGCTTTGAAGCAAGTTCCACGGCGGACCGTGGCAGCTACAAAGAGAGAGCCCTGTGGTATCCTAAAGGCGAAGACGTTTTATTATGGCGGGCTAGAATCTTTAAACCCAGTTCTGTGGATTTTGCTGCGAAGGACTAAAACGGCTTCCCCGCTGGTAAATGGGAGTTTTGTCATTGGAAAACAAACTGATCCTAAAACTTGTTGGTATGGAAGGAAGTCCCACCTAGTTCAAAATGGAGTTTATATTCCGAAATTGTGCTTCCGATTTCGTTGCTCAAGAGGGGCGTGGAGTGGAGGCATGGCAGAGGAAAATCTCATGTTACCATAACAACAGCTTATTAAGCAAAGTAGAGAAGGGTCCTCTGGAACTAGGTGGTGGGAGCATAGCGCCACTTTTGAAATCAGGATTTTTGTGTTTGACAAGCAGGCACTTGGAGATTTTATTTTTCCAAGCATCAAGGTGCTTTAATAAACTAAAAAAGTGATGGGAGAAAGCCTTGACCTTTTCACTTTCTGTCTGTTACACAGTTAATAAAGGCAAAGTATGAACTTTGTCAGAAATATGGTTTCAACCCTATGCACGCCTACCTAGGAGTAAGTTTCATCAAACTCCATGCACCTTATTTCTATGTTGGCTGCATAAGACTGTGCTATACAGGACATAACCTTACTGTATGGTGGGAGACAAATGGTGGTGAAATCTGTGGTCCAGGATGGAAGTCGGCAGGTCAGCTTTTGACACTTTAACTGATATGTGTACCCCAAATGCTTTTTTACAAAGCTATTTTGTACTACCAACCTTACTGTATGCTTGTGAAACTTGGACCACTTTTAAATGCCATCTCCAACTCCTCGAAAAATTCCATCAACGGTGTCTCCAAAATTTTTTACACATCACCTGAGAAGACAGGCAAACTAATACCAGTGTACTAGAAGAAGCAAAGATCACCAGTGTTGAGGCAATGATTCTTCAACATCAATTTTGTTGGACTGGTCATGTTGTGTGATGCCTGATGATCGTCTTCCAAAGCAACTACTCTATTCCAAACTTAAAAATGGAAAGCGTAATGCTGGTGTTCAACAAAAGAGGTTTAAAGACTGTCTCAAGGCCAATCTTAAAAAATGTAGTATAAATACTGACAACTGGGAAACACTGGCCTGCGAGCGCTCCAGTTGGAGAACAGCCTTTACCAAAGGTGTCATGGGCTTTGAAGATACTCAAACTCAAGACGCAAGGGAGAAACGTGCTAAGAGGAAGGCATGCTTGGCAAATCCACACCGTGATCAACTCCCACCTGGAAACCAATGTCCCCACTGTGGAAGGTTGTGTCGATCCAGAACTGGCCTACACAGTCAATTATGGACTCATTGTTAAAACTGTTACAGATGGGTAGCCGTGTTGGTCTGCCATAGTCAAAACAAAAAAATTCCTTCCAGTAGCACCTTAAAGACCAACTAAGTTAGTTCTTGGTATGAGCTTTCGTGTGCATGCACACTTCTTCAGATACACAAAACTGCTTTCGTGTACATGCACACTTCTTCAGATACACAAAACTGTGTTTATGGAGGACAATCTTGCTCTGCTGTGAGTGATTGCCAAAGAAGAAGATGACCTATAGAATAAGAAATGCCCCCTTAAATCAGGAATGGGGAACCTGTATACATCCAGACATTGTGTGTCTATATCTCCCATCATACCAGACCCAGATCACAATGTCTGGAAGGCCACAGCTTCACCACCCTGTCATAAACTATCAGTAGACATCAAATTAGGAAACACCACTTACTCTCATAAGGTTGGGTTCATTGCTTTATAGGTGTGAGAAATCCTATCCCCCAACCTTCCATTCTTTCAAGGGAAATCTGCCAGGTGTTGCATGGCAGCTGTGAGCAAGATTGCTGACCAAAGTGGGTGGGGCCCAGAGCCATCTCTCCTACAAACCCATTCAGTCTCTTTTCTCCCCTTTCTCTTCCTCCTTTATCTCACTCCCCCCTTCTCTCTCTGTTTTCTGCCCAGCTGGTTTCCGCCCCCGCCCCCCATGCAGCAGTTAAAGGTAAAGGTACCCCTGCCCGTACGGACTCTAGGGTTGTGCGCTCATCTCACTCTATAGGCCGGGAGCCAGCGCTGTCTGGAGACACTTCCGGGTCACGTGGCCAGCGTGACAAGCTGCATCTGGCGAGCCAGCGCAGCACATGGAACGCCGTTTGCCTTCCCGCTAGTAAGCGGTCCCTATTTATCTACTTGCACCCGGGGGTGCTTTCGAACTGCTAGGTTGGCAGGCGCTGGGACCGAACAACGGGAGCGCACCCCGCCACAGGGATTCGAACCGCTGACCTTATCGGCAAGTCCTAGGTGCTGAGGCTTTAACCCACAGCGCCACCTGCGTCCCCCTATGCAGCAGTTAGGCATCACTAAAAGCTTTAAAAAAGAACAGAAAGCCTAATTCCCATTAGGGGTGAGGCTAAAGACAGGAGGCTGCTGCAGACTGAATAGGGAGGACATGCTGACCACCTCCAACCCACAGGCTGGCAGCTCCCCATCACTGCTTTGTAGCGAAGGACAATGTGATTAAATTGTCAGACTCTGGAAACACCTACAACAAAACTGAATGCTGCAGAAGATTGCCACCCATTACATTATATATTCCCTTATTTACTAGCTAGAAAAACTAGCAGTTAGTGTCCCTACACCTGTATAGAGCCCACGTCTTCAGCGTCTGCATGGGCTGGGTGTCAGGAGCACCTTCACTGACCTTCCGATCACAGGAATGCAGAAACAGCAGAGCACAGCATTCCTCTGGAACAGGTCCTGGTGCAGTGGACTCACATTTGCTATTGTGAGCACCTCAATAGTAGCAGAGTAATGGAAGCAAAACAGTGGAGGTTTTGTTGCATACCTAATTTTATTACTACTGGTTAAACAAGACAAAACAGAATGGACATGCATGAGAGAGTCAGCTCTCTCATACTGTCACCTAGTCTCTAGAAAGAAAAGATCAAAGAAAAACTGGCACAGTGCTAGGGACGGAAGTCTGGTAGAGTGGTTTCCGTCCCCTCCTTTCTCTGGTACAGAATGTAAAACAAACATGATCTGTTGATCTTTGCAATGGGAGGGATGAAAATACTGACAGTTAGAAGCTCCAAAACCAAATCTGCCTCCTATGAGGAATATCAGCTCCCACTCTCCCCCACCCAGAAAATAAGTGGAGTATGGAAAGAGTGGTGGTTGTGGCAATGAGACAGCATTACTATCAGTTCACTTTGGGAAACAGGTGTGTAATTCAGGATAGGACATACATAATGAAAACCATAGTTGGTCAGTTACATTGAAGCCCTGCTGTGTGCCCATCTCAAGTGCTTTTGTGTGACTGACTGAAATGTGCTGTTGAATTGTGTAATGCTTTTGCTTGCTTTGGTGGAAGGGGTGTGTGTGTGTGTGCGCACACGCGCAGGTTAGCCTCTGGCTTTTGCATGGCTGGAACGTAGACTCTTGTACAAAGGTAAGAGTTACATTCATTGCTTTAAAAAAAATTAAATTGACTTTTAGGTAAAATACGGAGAGTTAGGAAAGAGAAAAAGAACCAGGAACAACAGACATCAGGTGGATTCATGGCATAATGAACAGACTGGGCAAGTCTAATACATAAAAGCAAATAATAATCTTTTTTCTAATCATTACAGATCACAAGTGGCAAGTCAACATGGTATCTTCAACAAACGTAAGTTTGTTGCTTCCCAGGCCTGCTCCATGTATAGTTATTTCAAATCAAATGTAAGTTTCCACTCCACTGCATACTTCTTTTGTCAATGATATGGCAGTTCCCACAACACAAAGTCCACTCCCCAAAGTGTACAGGTTTGCTTGATGCAGTAAGGGCCAGTTCTCAGATCAGTTTTATATTTGTTTTTGTAAATTGCCTTGGGGTCCCTTATTAGAACTGAAAAACAATATAAGTATGTTTATTATTGTATTTATTAAAATTAAAATAAAAGCATGCATGAAAAGAGATGTACCTAGAGTCCCTTGTACCCTGGGCAAAAAGCTGTATTGGTGCCCCCCCCAGTCCCTTGTGCTCCTCCGCTGGGGTGCCCAGAGGAGCCTGCATGCTTCACCTGGCTGCCCATAACAGCAAAGGAACAGCCTGGGGAGCAGACGGGCTCCTAGCAACTCCGAGCCAGATGGACAGACACGCTTTTTGCGGGCCTGCACCCTTGGCAGGGGCCAACCTACCCAACCCCTAGATACGCCCCTGTGCATGAAATAACATAATGGGTGCCTTTGGGATATGTTTTAAAAATGTCACAAACCTCAAGAGGCCAGTATGTGCCTCATCTTCCTAACACACACTTGCCCAGCCATTCTCTTCAATACACATGCACGAGTTTCCATGTATAAAAAGTTAACATGAGAATCCGTGCGCACATGCACACACACACACACACACACACACACACACACAAGTCAGATAGAACAGGTTCTTCTGTTTGCACTCACCTCTTACTCAGCAATCTCACCTAGAGCACACGGAAATCAAAGGGATCTCCAGCTTCCTCAATTTGCTTTTGGAGCTACTCCTTAAAAGCATTAGCATCCAAATACGAGAACACTATTATGCACAGTCAATTACGGACTGAATTAATCATTATGCTAAGTACTCTGCTAAGTAGGCCCCCTGCCAAATGGGGGTTCTTGTGATGCTCTAATTATCTGGGAGCTTTCCCAATATGGAGAGTATACTCATATTGATGCTTGTATTGCAGCCTTTTA